GATTTTCTTCATCAAAATACTACGTATCTATAGAACAGAAAACTTGTTTTGAATTTCTATACCTTAATGAAATAGTTCATTAATGCTGACTCAATTAATACGTGGTTTTACTGGTGCAAATCATGAGCACGTATTTTCCTGTAAAACAATTACGCGGCGTGGGTCTGACACAAATTCAATATTCAGTAGGCGGCGCGGAATCCGCGACGACGTGCAAAATTATTAGGGCCTTTCCCGGCATCAGGGAATTGATTTTCACATTGGCAGCTTTTCATACATTTTTTTCCTTCCACTTTCAGCGAAAAACGGATTTTCGCAGAGTCTGCAGGGAGCGATAGCTTTTGCTTGCGGAGAAAAATATCCCAGGGTCTTCATTCCTCCCTCGGCATATCTCACGTGAGATCTCATTTCTCTAATAGACGAACGGCCAGATAAAAGGGCACGACCTTTGCTGAACAGTTTTATTGCGCGCCTTGGAATGAGAGCGATGAATTTTTTATGCTCCGGAGCCATGGCAGCAGGGGCGTCTCACGCTTGGGTACATCTGCTTAAAAATTGCAGTTGGGTTCAAATTGCACCAGAATATTAAAGGAGGAATGAGTGGACTCATATTTTTTTATCAATTTGGTCAAACTTATAAATAATAATTATTAAATAAATGTTAGATGAATGTAAATTTTTTTATTTTTTCATGCCGAGATGGTTTATTCAATAACTATATATTTTATTATATAAATCCTGAAATAAAATTCAGAGAGCTAGACTCTTTTTTTTCATCACGTTTTGTACAATTTTTAAAATTCTTACAGATTATCTATCATTATACAATGGTTAAAGCTAAAATATAGTACTTAAAGAATAAAACTCAACATCATTTAAATAAATAATTTTAAAAATTAATGTTTTATTTTATTAATAAATGAATTTTTCCGAAAATGATCAAATAAAAATTAATTCATATCATAGTTTTTAATAATTTTAATCTTAGTTAAAAAAAAATTATAATTTAGATTTATAATTATGTTTTTTTTGTAAAGATTTAAACTGTTTAATGTCATATTTTTATTTTTTAAATATTTTATTAAATAACACATGATGCTGTTGTTCAGTGGTTGCAATTTAAAGTTGGTAAAAGTGTTTGCAAACAATTCGCATAGTGACATTTGTGGAAGGAAGGAGCACAGAGCTTAATAAATTCCCAGCGGATTTCTCTTGCTGTCTCGGCAAAGAATTTTTTCTCATTTCGCATCGTCTTCCCTCTGCACTTCAATCTCACAGAAAAGTTAATTCCTTGCTTTCTCATGATGTTTCTGGCCGTTTCAAAATTGCTTTTAAACATTCAGAGAGAGCATTGCTGCGTGTATAACTTTTTCAACTAGACCTTTTCATCGCCATCACTCAGTCGCTACGAAATAATTAAATAAGATTTTTTCTTGTGACTCTTCATGCTTTCCAATACTATTTTTTGTTTTAATTTCTATTTTTAAAGCTAATTTTCTAAATGGCATTTTGAATATCAATCACAATCTTTATGCTGCTCATAAAGAGCCTCTTGACCTGTGACCTTAAACGCAATATTATCGTATTTATGAGCTCTCCCATTTATCGATCGTAACTAATGGTTTTCATTGCCAGTTATTAACGTTCGGCTTTTAATAGGGTGAACTGGGACGTGAAGTTTTACTCCGTGTTAAAGTTGGTTAGTTTATTTCCAGTCCCGCTTGCAATATTCATATCTCGGTGCAACTTGATTGCAACTCGGCAGTTCTTGTGCACAAGAGGTGCTCAAATTTCATAGAATGCCACCTAGAACGGTGTTCATTCCATGGGCGCGAAAAGAAGAAGCCAATCTGCTTCGGAAATGCATTTTCGTTCTCTGAAATCGATTTTCTTTCACACGCCTGATGCCTCTGAAATTAGATGGAATATTTTTCTCCCATCAAGAAAATATCAATCAAATTTGCACGTGAGAAAATTTCAAATAAATTGTTATATAAATTGGCTAAAAAAAAATCCAAATTGATTTTTAGAAAAATTTCCGACGATGGATCTGTTCAATTTACGCTGATGCTGATCTTGTTACTCGTGTGAACTACATTAAAGAAACAGTCACAGTTTTATAATTCAATAATAATTCATTATTTACTTTTTGCAAGCAGTAAAAAGTGACAATTCAAGTGAAGCACACTGCATTCGTTTCACATTTTTTCGTATGAGAATGATTTTTTATAGGAATCTGTTAATTTAAACGAATTTGAATATTTTAAAGAACTTCAAGAAGAACAGGTTTTCAAAAGATATAATCAAAACTTATTGGAATCACATTTTTTTCTTATTTGCAATTGAAAAAGAGCAAAAATAAAATTAAAATAATATTAAACTTTGAGCTAATTGAGTTAAAAAACGCTAATTTGTCATTAGCTGAGTTTAATTTATGTGTGTCAAAGAAATTACAAACTTTTAGCTGGCCTTCCATGTGGTCTCACATGATTAATTCCCGACAAACTTTACACGCTTTCGGTGCTTATGTGGTTTTGCCCTGAATTTATCGTCAAAAGTGGAGTCTATATGGTTGGCGTGTGTGTTGGAAGCGAGATTAATTTTGCGGGCGCCGCACAATAAAAGCGTCGGCCGAGCGACGATGAATGGCGACGCTTTTGTCAGTTTATCACCGTGAATGGCGGCTCTTGTGGAAATTATTGCTCGCGGCATCATATTATTTATTGCCTGGTTTTCCGGCTCACAAATGACCCAGTCGCTATAATTACCATTATTATCATTTGAGAGTAAAAAATCCGAAAAAAAAAAATTTTAGGACACTGGATTAAATTCTATAGTTTAAAACTACCAAGCGTACTTTAAATGGCTAAAAAAAAACTCTTAAACTTGGATATTATTGGATTTTATAAAAGTTTTTCTATTATTTAAATTGTTTTTGTTTTTTAAATTATTAATCGTTTTAATAAAACAAATAAATTTTTATTACTAATAAAACGAGCTGTGCATTTGATGTAGTTTTTGGCTTAATTGTAAAATTATTCCGTAAAAATTAAATAATTTTTAGTGAATTTTCGTTTTATAATGAGAGAATTGAAGATTTTGAGCCTGAAAAATGGACCATTTTGAAATAATATAAAAAAAATTTTCACCTTAGTTTTCAACCTAAATTTTATTCCACGTAATGTCAAGAGAGATACTCATAAATTTTTGAACTGATGAACTTCTCTTTTTATCTCGATTACGGCAATGAGGTAATTCACGAGTCTTATCATGAGCAGGCGATCCATTGATCTGCTTTTCCCACCGCAACCATAGGATGTGCGTATCTTTTTTTTTGAATGATAGATCGAATGCGCGAGTGGAATATCAAAGGGCGCAGACACCGAGATAAAAAAAACCGGCTTTCCAGACACGCAGATGTCTGACATGTTCATCTACTCCGCATCTCTCTGACAAAAATGCATACAAATTCTGCAATGTGGTGTTGATTTTTTTTTATGAAATCGCGAGAAAGAAAAACAAAGCGAGCGGCCAAGTGGAAACAAAACAAGTATGGTGGAAACAGTCATTTTGCTCTCGAAACGAGCAGTAATGCGTCCGTGTGTAACAATGTTTGCGCCATTAAGCGCTGGATGTGTCTCGATTGACATTCGTTTTAATGTGACGTCGTGCTCAGTTTACACACAATGGCGTGTGTGTGGATAAAAAATGACGTTGCCGCAATAAAATTGTTCCCTAAGGCGAGAGGATAATCCGCAGTATGGCTCTCTAGCATGCGATGGTTTTTAGCTGAAATTTGTGGATATTATAAGAGACCTTCCATAAATACTCAAAAATTTGACACGAAAGAGTAGGAAAACTTTCACTGGCATGAGCGAAAAATATAATAATAAAATTAATTACAAAATATTATTTACATCAATATTTAATCCCCTGCAATCACTGAATAAAATCATAACTTTTTTAACTTGATATCTAGAAGAAAATTCATAGTAATTGTTATTGTTTTTCAATTATGTTCGATGAGATATTAAAGCAATGAAAAAATTTAAATTTTCTTCAAATTAATTTATTTTTCTAAAATAATTAAATAAGTAGTATTGTCAAAATTTAGACTGGTGAATATAGTTTTCAGATCAATAGAATCATAAAATCAAAGAGCATATAACTCTTACTTATTAAAATCTGTGAAAAATCGTCTACAAATTTAAAGTCGTGTATAATATAATAATTATATAATATAGCTTGAAACAAATTAATTACCAAATTTTGTTCCAAAACTTATATTTTATAAGCCACAAATTTAGAGGCTACCTCATTTTACTGAAAGCGTATGTTCCATTTTCAATTATAAAAATTAAAAACAGCAAAACAAGTGAAAGTTTTTGTCGGAAAGCAATCACTTGATGAGTAATAAATTAATTCAAACATTTATTTCAGTTATGGGTATTTATCGTCAACTAGAAAATATTTTTTGCAAAAATCATTTAAAACAAATATAGCATTTCTTAAGAGAAAAAAAATTAAAAAATTGAAATTCATAAAGATCGATATATTAATTCCATTAAGTGCTATGAATTCCAAATTTTTAAACAATTTCAACTTAAAAGGTTGTTTTTTTTCTTGCTTTTTCAGCGCTGGAAAGTCTTGCTATTATTAAATGAATGAAATAATAACAGCCAAGAAGATAAATTATGAATTTGTTGTTGCAAATAACAAAATCACGAAATATATCATCTCTCACGTTTATACCTTTAAGATTTTGATATTTAACTACAAATAAAAGTTATAATTCACTATAATTAGGATCTCAATTGAATCAAATGCTATAAAAATTGAAAAAAAATAACATCTGCAAAGGTCAAGCTTTTTGTAATTATTTAACTTTTGTATTAACACCGAGACGAATTATAAACAATAATAATTTACTAAATTGAGTGTTGTTAAATTTTGCAATGACACCTTGACCAACTAACGAGTCTTAATTGTTTGGTACTCACTTTGATGGCACGTGAGGAGAGGAGCAGAGACAAGGGTGTGTGTTGCAGGCAGTGAGCAGAGGCGCCCTGCAGGACTGTTCGTCGCGAGAAGCCGCCACCGCCAAGAACACCCTACGCTCGGGGGGTCGGAGCCAATCAGACGCCCCGACGGCGGGCCACGTGACGCGCATCCCCGCCGCCCACGCCACCGCGGGGCTGCTCGCCCTCTTTCAGTCTGATTGTCGACGGTGTGCTGGTGGCGACCGAAGGGTGAAAGAGAGTTTGATGTTGCCATGTCAGGAGAACAGGCGAGCCAAACCACTTCATTAAGGCACAAACTAGCTCTGCCATGGACGAGTGAACAGAAGCGCGTCCGCACTTTCAAAGAGGAATGGCTTTGATCAATTTCTGCAGTTTATATAGAAAATGACAAACAAACTCTCCTGCAAATAAAGTGATTCAAAATAAAAAGCTACATTTTTTTCTGCTGAACATAGATTCACTGCTTTTCCGAAACAATAAAATAATACACAGTGTGTGCTGTTGACTTTTGATGCTAATAAACTTTACGAGGAAATAGAAATGTAGAATTTTCCTTCAAGAAAATTAGTATTCATATCACATACTGGATTCTGCGAAAGCAATTTTGTCTTTCATTAATTATCTGTTATTGAGTTTCTTGGATCATTTCTTTCTAATTGCAATGGCCTTAAGGACTCTCAGATTGTTGAACTCGCGCTCAATGTCAGAGTTCGAACTATTCACATTATTCTCTGCACTCTCTTTTTAAATTTTAAATACTAAACTAGAGTTTTCAAAGATAAAAGATAAATTATATAAAAAATTTCTTTAATGCTTTACCCATTTTAAATATTAAAAACAATTACTTATTTATAAATATCGAAGAAAACTCAAGACCTGTTGGAATAAAAAAGTAGCTTAAAACCTATAAAAGAAAGGGGTTAATTTTCTGTGCTTTCAAAATTTGGTTAAAGATATCCAGATCAAAACGGATCAGAACATGAAAATAGCTTTTATTATTATATTTGTGCGAAATTTTATATATATTTTCGCAAGACATTTACGCACGTGTCTGCGAGCGTGCAAACGACAGCATCTTCTCTCATTTTGGCGTGTTGAAGAGAAAGACTTGGGGGCGGTGTGGAGGATGAGATGACCCTCCCTGCTGGCTGAGAAGAAGAATTTGATATGCTGCAGATTGCCGAATAACTCAGGAATGACTGGGGGTGGTTTCGGGTGCGAGTGTCAACGCCTGATGCTCACGTGGCAACGAGGAATTTTGTGTCGGTCGCCTTGGAAACAAACCGCCCTGCGTCAGCCATGCAAAAAGGCCACCCTTGGGCGCGGGGTTGAAGCTTCAAAGCGAGTTGCTTGCTTTGGTGAACAGATGGCTCTTTGGTATTCGAAAAAGAGGCTTGCAAAATGTACATTAAAATACCAGAAATGAAGGAGAATATGATGAAAAAGTTGATATTTTATTATTCTACAAGTACGAAAAGGTTAAATTGAAATTAGTATCAGAGCATTATTCATATTTATATTTAAAAAAAATTCATTTATCTCATAAAGTCATACAAATTTTCCTTTTCATTTGTTACAACATACAAATGTTTAAAAAATATAAATGAAAATTACAAAAAAAAAGAAGAAGAAGAAAATAAAAAAGTAATTTTATATCGTTAAAAATTTAAAAAATGTTAAAATTTAAATTTTTTGTACTTCCCTATCACAAATTTTTTTATTATTTTATAGAACTTCTCACAACTTAATAACATTAACATCATATAAAATTGCTAAAAGACTAATTGAGTAAATATCTTCAATATTCAAAGCCTTAAGTTTTCGCAAAGCTCTACTCATTGAACATTCGCACGTCAGTCGGTCCAACACGCGACCCTTTCCCTTTTGCCCAAATTATCGCACGCGGCGTGCAACCCTTTTAAAACGCGCTTCAAACTTTGGCCGACTTGCTCCTTTCTCGTGCGTATAGTATTATAGGTGAGGCATTGGGGTTGCGGGGGAAGGGGTCGCGTTGCTCGGGCGCACTCGCGGCATCGATCCCTGGCGCCAAGGGGGATCACGCGTGGGCCCTCGCGCCCCTCATTTGCAGACCGTGACCCTCTTCGCGGGCACCGCGGCCGATTGGCAGAGGAAAAGCGACGCACCGCGAAGGCGCCGATCGTGCGCCAATCGACGCCACCGGTGGCGCCGACCGCGGCCAAGGACATCCCGTGCCAAGTCCCTTGGACGACCGGCGAGCAGTGCCGCGGCACAGCTGAGGGGCGGCTGCAGTCGACTCGCACCCAGGCATGCACTCCGGCTGGACCACCCGCTCAAAGGGTAAGCGCGGCGCAAGCCACCCCGCGGTCACGTGATTCAATTTCATCCCTCCGAGAAGCACATTCTTGAAGCTGACATTGTTTTTATCAGGAACTGTAGAATTTTAACCCAAAAAGTTTGGTAAAACATTTTTCTTATAATTTTGGTCATTAAATTTGAATTGTTTCTGATCAGAAGCAGTTCTTTTCAGGGACACTAAAAATTTAAATGTGATGCATTCTAAACTTTGAAATTAGATCAATATCAAATGGAGAATAAATACATAAATAAACTTTTAAAATATACTTAACAAAATTTTGTAATTTAAACTATTACTAGTTATATTTGTTTCATAAATTTAACCTTAAATTATTAATAAACAATTTAAAGTTTTTACCAAAAATTTTTATGATTAAAAACAATTAAGATGAAAGTTTGTTCTATTGCTTTAAAATATAACAAATTCTATTAACAAGAAATTTATAAATATTGGTAGTGCATTTCTACTGAGAGTGAATTAAAAGACAATGGTAACTCTTAATTGAAATTTGCAATTAGCAGTAGTTGTAAAGTTTGCATGAATCATATAATTATCATAAAAATCAATATTATCTCAAACACTGTTCACTCTCCGCACTTTTAAAATTTTAAAAATTTAATTTCCCCTTTTCCAAAACGGTTTAAAATTACATACATTTTAAAGGGGCTACTGCATTGGAGAGCGCAAAGGGGTGTCTGCAAACAGGTGGCCACTCACACGTGGGTCACCCTTTGCATGCTGCACTGCCACTGCAGATGCAACCCGTCACTCTCTGTTGCGCACTTTTTTATTGCTTTTGATCGCGAGCTGCAACTTTTGTAATTACGTGCCACATTTCTATCTCTCTCCAGCTCATTTCCCGCAGAGAGCAAAAGCAGTCCCTCGACTGCTATTTGCGCATTGCCTCCGCAAAAAGTACGCTACGTACATACTTAGATGCACAGTCGCGACAGACGAGTCGGAAAATAAGATATGTCGTCGGCGCACTTCTTCCTCTTATTGCGCGACGACGATGATGCTCTCGGGACAAGAGTGCAGATAAATCGCGTCGCGAGTGATTTTTTGCTGACGAAACTACACTTTGGTGTCGCTTTCCTTATGGGCAGGTCATTGAAGTTTAAAAACTGCTTGTTCAGAAGTGTACGCTAATTTTTTTTTTTACCAGCGTAATTTAAACAGAAATTTATAGTATTCAGATAAATTGTACCATTATAAACTAACTTTTGAAAGCAATTTCTTATTGTTACAGATTTTTGCAATAGTTTATTATTTTACATACAATTTTCAGATGTTTACTTTAAAAGAACATTTTCTCAGCGTCGTGTAACATAACCACAGATAAGCCTAAAAATAAAAGAAATTATAATATTATTACAAAATTGAGAACGCCTTCTGCGCCACAAAAAAAGGCACAGGCCGACAAGACTTTGTCTTGGCATGACTCTTAAAAATAGAAAAAAATAAAAATATTTTGAATAATTAAATAAGCTCACAAGATTTTAAATTAAAATTAACAGTCATAGCAAGAATCTTAATTTATGGCAATCATAACATTCACAATAGGTGTTATATTAGTATTTTAAAAACACTAATATATTAATTATATATCTTATTTTCTATTAGTTTAAATTGTTTTTATTCTAATTTATTCCATTTAAATTCCTTTTTCATTTTTATATTATTGTATTTTTTTTATATTGACATTGTTATAATTGTTTTATCAAAGAAATTTGCTAGATTAGATTTTAAAATATGTAAAAGTAAAAAAAAAATTTATATTGACTTAAAGGGATACCATATTATATAATTTTATGACATATAATATAATAGTTCGGTAGCATCTTGGTTTCATATTTGTGTTTTCTTTAAATTTGAGCGCGATCGAAATTTTGTTTGGATGAATCTATATATTTTCAAACAAAGACACATTCATCGGATTTGGGTTACACGGTTTTGGACAAAAGCCAGGATTAATTAGCACCGCGCACTGCCACCAGCAGTCGTGATGCGGGCGGCGAATGAGCAGTCAGCGCCAGACATGCATATGTATTCAAGCGGCGATCACATTTGCCTCTGTACTTACACGAGAGGCGGCGGTCGATTCTCTCGCTAACTCTGATTGAAGAGGAACGTTCGGAGAGAAGTTTTCAAAGAAAGAAATCAGTCCAGATGCCGGCCGGCGTAATTATCGAAGCAGTCTGACGTTTCAGCTCTCATTAGATAAAACTTGGGATAAAAAATGAAATAAAATGGGCGATGTGATATTAGTAGAAAGCCGAAATTGAGATTAGAGTATGGAGAATAAAGTATTTCCGAAAATTCCGTAACTATTTATTTTTTAAAACAGAAAAAACATTTAAAATTTGTCGAAAGACTGGAAATTGCTAGGAATTTGCCTGATTAAATTTCTCGAGAAATAAAAAATTTAACTGTTTCAATTTTTGAAAATTCTCATTGAAGAAAACTTATGTCAGGAACAAGACTTACGACAAACACTGATTATTATTATTGTTTTATTGAAAGAAATAAAAATTAATGGAGGGAAACATTAAATCCATTAGGTCGTTGGAAAAAATACAGTACTATTTATATTATAATCGTGTTAAATTCCACTTCGCAAAAGTGCAAAAAAGTTAAAGTGGTCCTCTTTAAAGCTCTTATTGAATCCCCTGTTATTTTTACATCAGCCTCGTCTCCTCTCACAAATTGACCTTTAACATCATTATTTGCCCACTTTGTTGTGTTGTTTCCAAAAGTGAAGGAGACAGCTTACGGCGCGTTGCAGAACAAAAGAACAATTTATTTTTTCTGCCACCTTCGCTCTCTCCACCGGCATCGACTCTGCTTTTTATCTCTTGAAGTTTGTCAATTTAATTGTACGCAAATATTGTCTTTTGTTTTCTCTTCACAAAATAAATTATCTCTCAAAATGACGCATCAAGAAACTCCGCAAACTTGGCAAAAGTTCCTCTTCTCCTCCGTTGATTACATTCGGTTAAGTAGGAATGATTTTTTTACACTTAAGCCGCTTAAATTTGTTCAGTTTTAATTGGATTCAACCTCTGCATTAAATGAACGTCGTGTTTGCTTTATTTCTGGCTTTGCCGCGGACGTCCGGGTGAGATTTTTCTTGCTCACCGGCCGAGATGATGAATTGGCGCTGCTTCAGCCGAGAACGCACGTCCCTGAGTGATTAACATTCTGAGCGGCACGTTTCGCGCTCTAATTAAGCCAAGGTGCTCCTCGCGAAAAAGCAATATGCGGATCACCTCGCGCAGAAATATTACAAAAGCTCCCAGAGTTTAAATTTTCAGTTTTTTACACTCACTCATAAGTTGGAAATTTTGTGCCCACTTTAAATCATATCTTATTCTTAATGAAATTGAGGGATTGAAAGGAAATAAAAATCAATTCAAATATTGGTGTATTTTCTATCATAAACTTTAACTGTTTTTATAAGAAGCAGAATATTTTGCTTGAAAAATATATTTAATACATAAAAACTCTTTTAAAATTCAACTACGGAGCAGAATTTCTTAAACCGGTTTTTTTAATACATGAATTAGGAATTAGAATAATTTGTCTGAAAGTTTAAACGATTTTGAGCTTAAAACAATTTATTGTGGAAAATTCATTTTGTCTGCCTCCATGGAGACATTTTATTCAGAAATCTCTCTCTTTCTCTAAAGATTATAATAATTTAATTTCATACAATCCAGCCTGAATTTTTCTAAAAAGGTACCACGTCGAGCCCTGTTATAATTTTAAGCCGCTTGTCCCAATTTCAAAAAGTCTTTAACAAAGTGCAGGCCGTTCGCTACTTTCGTATAAGCGGGGTTATTAAAAAACTTTCACCCTTTCCGGGAAACAGCCCGCCGGCCAAAAGCCCCAAAATTGAGAGAGTGCCCTCGAAATTTCACCCGCTGGGAACAGCGCAGCCTTTTTATGATGTATGATGGCTGCCGAGTTTCGCATTTATTCCACATTACTCTCCGGCATGCATTGTTTGTTCAAGTGCCGCGCTGTGTACTTATAAGAGTCCTCGGAGAGTCTGCTTTGTTTGACTGGCTGGGAAAGGGTGGCGAGTAAAGAGAAAACATTATACTAAATTTGCAGCCCAATTGAAAGAATTTAATGAAATACACAGAGAAAGTCATTTAATGTAAATTTGCATTAAATTTAATGCTTTAAATTGTTACAGGGGTAAAATTTAAAATTATTTTCAATTTTAAAGTATGGTATAAATTAAATTTTATTAATAAAAGTTAGAATATGTTTTATTTTTATCTATTTATTGGTTATATTTATATTTTGTTTATTTAAGTATTTATTTCAATATTGATCTATTTATTTGTTTTCGTTTAATGGCAAAATTTTTGCAATTAAATTTGCCAAATTTAAAACAAATATAAATTTTTCACACAAACTATTTATGAAATCATAATGATTAAAACAAATTTTAATGTTTCTTGAATGTTGATAGTAGTTAAATCCTCTGATAATAAATTTACTTCTCAAGGGATAATGGAAAAATAAAAAAATGTGATTTAAGTGTTAAAATTTAATTTCCGGAAGCTATGACATCAGGCATTGTACAAGCTGCTGACTGAATGTAATATTATTTATGGAAAATGGAAATTGATTTCACAGTTGGGTGTGCCAGAGAGAGAACTGTGACAAAATTTCCGTGCGTTACCGTTCCGCTTGATCGCGTCAAAGAAGACCTTTTGTTGCGTAAACAAAACACACGCACGCATGTGCCAATTGCATTCAGCTGGCAACATCGAGATCAATCTGTGTTTGCTGTCGCTTCGTTTATTTCCAGCCGCTTAAATTTTCCTCGCGCACCACTAACCCATTTGCAATCGCTATTACGCAATTTGGAGAAGATGAAGGAGTCGTGAAAATTTGGATAAATTTGTGCGACCAATTCTTGAAATTCTGCTCAATTATGCTTCAATAATTTATAGCTAGGATTTGATTTTTGTTTCAATGCTTTACATCAGATCTGATTGAAAGAAATTTTTACATGATTAGGAGACAAATCAATCAATTTATTCTTTTATAAATTCCTCTCGACTTTTTGAGAAGAGTGCGAAAATATAAAATTTTCAATATTTTTTAAATCAAATAAAAAATTATCCACATATGCAGCATTTTATTATTTTATTTTGTTCATTGAAACCATTTCCATTGACTTTCCAAGTTCTTTTGAGAACTTTATTAAAATACATTTTAATTTCTTCTTTGAATTTAAACCACCAGATTTTCATTTCTCATAAAAATAATTGCTTAAATGACAAGATTTTCTCCAAAACAAACATACAAATTATGAAAATATTACGCTTTACGATGGTACACAAAAAACTTCACTTTCTTTCATATATCCTAATAATTTATAACAGCCCACATAATAGATGTTGTTGTGAGGAAAACGAAAATGAGCGATCAATACACGTCTCCCGCAAAACAGGAAAGCATTTGTTGCGCGGGTTGCATAACTCGGGCTGTAACAAACTTGATCTCGGTATAGTTTTCTTGCTCGTCGGTCGGCGAGTCGAGGGTGAAATAATGATTCAAGTTGGCCGCCGCCGGCGCCGCTCGCTCGCTTTTTCGGCTAACGAAGCCCAAGGCCGGTGAGAGCGGCGAACGTGTTTTGTTGATGGATGCGTGGCGCCCGGCAATACTCCGGTTTGCGGGCGGCACATCAAATTTCATCCGGAATTATTGATTCAAAGCGTGCAGTGCGTAAAGCGACTCCACCGCGGTGCGTCCGAGCGGCCTCAGTTCCGTGGCTAATTAGCCAAGATTTCGAAAGCCAAAATTTTGATTTTAATGCGTACTTTTTGCTTTCCTTTTTATAAAGTATTTCTTGCGCGACTTATATGAATTCAAATGAAGAGCCTGAATATATAATGAGCAGCGAGTAAAAATTTCTAGGTGGTTTATTAATTTTGAATGTATTCGCGGCGTTCAAAATTGTAATATTTATTTTTTAACAAGTCTCAGACCTGCGTTTCAAAATTAATACCAAAACATAAGCGTGATTGTGGATAAAATATTCATCTCTTTTTGCATGAAATTTAAGTCAAAACAAATTAATAAATGTTTATGTTTAGAAAGCAAATAAAAAAACTGAAAGGAAAATATTAAAACTTGTTGGCATTGGAACAAGTTGAAATGTCATAATCCTCGAAATGTTTTTTGAGTTTAGAAAAGAGACGCCCTGCCAACTTTGGTCACGGCTGGTAAAGAAAGAAAGAAAGAAAATTAAAAACATCAATTAGACAAAGATATTACGTAATTTATCAAGTTCCAGCACACTTTTTGAATCTTTACCGGTTTGATTTCCTGAAAATCCGCACAATTCAGCTATTAATGGACAGGACTTCTTGCAATTCAGAGCAGGTTTTGTGCCCACATCTAACCACCAATAAAATAAATCACTCTGGTTAATGGTCAAGTGCTGTTGAAGCGAGTGCTGAAACCAATTAGGTATGTCGTTTCGAGCGACCACCGGCTGCAATAAATTTGCTATTTCCATCGCTCTAGGGTAGAATTGTGGCAGAACCTGATTTCAAAGGGTTCATATTTGTAATGAATTTTGCAAAATAGATTATAACAAATCTATGATTATTGCTCTATAAATTTAATTGCGCATCAGTTCATGTTTTTTTTTAGTATTCAATTTCCAGGTTAGCAAACATAAAAGTAATAGATTCATTAAAATAAGAAATTTTTAGTTTAAAAAAGGTCATAATTAATTAGCTGTTTGCAACTAGATTTAAAATATATTATGTAATATGTTTTTTCTACGGAATAATGTATTTGATAAATCTTTTAATATAACATTTTATTTATTTTATTAATTTTTGTAATAATTTTTTAAGTTTAACAATGAAGTATATCATATGTTATTTCAATTTTAAAATTATATAAACGATGTAAACCTAAACTTAAAAAAAAAATTGATATTGCAATCGCATCACATTAGTCGATGTTGAAAATGAAAATAATTTCCTTCTACGGTTAGTATTTCATTTGCTCTAGATTCTAATTTAGAAATATTAATATTATTAAATTTATATTTATGCATAATTAAAATTATTTACTCACGGTTTTGATCCCGCATGAATCAAATAATATATTTTCAGTTTTTGAAACTCAAACAATGTGTTCATTGTACATTTTTAGATGGCTGAGGTGCGCGGATTAATTTCGGTGCTGCTGGTCGGTGCCCTGCTCGCGGCGCTCTTGTTCCTGTGTCGCCGCAGTGGACTTTTGACCTGGCTCGCCGCCTGGCTACTTTCTTCCAGAGAGGAAAAAGTTGGCCTCACCAGATCCAAGGGCACATACAATGCCAACGGATACCTCGTAAGTTAATTTGATTGGCTCGGGTTAGAAAAAAAGTGTGTTGTCGCAGCACCGAAGTAACAAGGCTTTTTTTCTAAGCGAGCCCAACTTGCAGAGATCGGATGAGAGGAGCGAAAGGGCACAAATCACGCCTGCCACTTTCAAAGTTGATTCGATTTGGGATCAACTTACACTCACATGACCATAACTTTTTTTGTTTACTATCTCATACTTTTTAAATGCCTCTAAAAAATAGAGTTCTACTCTGGCTTCAATTTTTTTCTCTCAAATTAAACATATGATTTTAAACAGTTACCTAGAAGGAAATTAAATTGTTTCAATCTCATTGAATTTTAAAGCAATGCTAAATATTATTTTTTATTGAAAAGTAAAATGTTTTTGTTCTTTTTTTAAAAAGAGATTTGAAATGGGATATGACGAAATTGATTTTTAATATTTTAAAAATTTTTCTGCAGTATATTTTGGACTGCAAATTGAAAATTGGAACAAAATTGTAAAATTTTCATTCTCCGTCTCACTGAAAACAATATATTTCATTTTTCACGTGGCGTTTTGCGTCGCTTGTTTACTGAAGTAAGCCGTGTAAAAGTTTGCAAAGTGGAAAGCGTACCTTTTTCTTGTACGCAAAAGAGGGCGGAATGAATGAAGAAAAAGTTCGCTAGCGAGCCATTGTTTTACTTCTCGTGCTGTTTTGAAACGTTCTCTGGCGCTCACAACTTTTGTTCCCGATACGTTTTCATGCCGATTGTTCCATTGTTCTGAGTGGAGTATGAGATGTCTGTCAGCTGCCAATAAACATGTAGAATGTCTCCATGGAGAGAAACCCAAGTAGTTCGCAGAGGGAAAATAACGTTCATGCAAATAGTTAGTTGCCCCGTTTCATATAAAACGTCCGTGTCTAACATTTGCTATTAAAGTACCACTTGTCCTGAAATACATAAAACTTACGGTTCTATCAGAGAAGTCTTAATCAGAAAAGTAAGACCAGGTAGATTTATATTTATCAGATTTTAAAATGTTCTACAGTTAATTTTTTTATTTTAATTCATTTAATTTATTTATTTTATTGATTTGATAATTCTACAATTATAAATAAATACAAAAAATTTAAGTCTAGAATGAAATAACTTCGGTTAATTTTTTTACCAATTAATATTTTAAAATTTAATTACTTTTTTATAATTAATTTTTTTTACTATTTTTTTTAATTTTTATTAATGCATTCCATTATTTTGTTAATTTTTTAATTATAAAAAGATTGAATAATAAAAATTTAGTTCATAAAATAGATATTTTAATGTATATTAATTTTATGTTCTATGCTGAAATTATTTACAATTTTCTCTTAACCGCTAATTTATTTTCAATATGTTAATTATAAATATAAAAATGATAAATTTAAGAAAAATAATTATTTTTAAATAATTTAAATTTGCCAATGCAGGTGGGTTCCAACTCGGACATTCATCTGGACATGACAAACGGCAGTTTCCAGCGGTTCGACACAATCGACCGCGACTACCGCCTCTTCGGCGAGTCGACCCTGAGCGGCGCCCGCTACAACCTGTGGGGCGCCCCAATTTCGCCTGCCGCCCCCGACATTCCACCGCAACCCTTGCGTCCAGCCCCAGCGCCCTTTCTGCCCCCGAAGCCTCCGGACGAATCGCCACCGGAACCAAACCACGCTGTGCCTCGGCCGGCACCGTCGCAGCTGCAACGCAACTTCCCTCTCATTCCGCCCCCGCCGCCAAAGACGCCCAAGGTCACGTCAATCCTGCCGCCCCCGTCGTTTGCAGATCCCGTCCCTCAAACCACAGAATCCGAGGATGAAGGTAAAATGCAAATTTTAATTAATTTTGAACAATGTATAAGTGAGCAGAGAAAACCTTGAAGGAATTTAGACAATTCTAAGATTTTCAAAAGAATTTTAACGTGGATTCAGAAACTGCGCGAGAAAAGCAATGCTCGGAAAAACGAATAAAAATGTCCAAATTTCAACTTTTAATTGGAAATTTCAATTATTTTTAAAACAGATTAAAATTTCTGTTTTAAAATAATTAACATTTCCACTTTAAACTCAAAAATTTTAAAACAGAAATTTTAATTTGTTTTAAAAATAATTGAAATTTCCAATTAAAAGTTGAAATTTGAACATTTTAATTCGTTTTTCCGAGCATTAGTTTTCTCGCTCAGTTTCTGAATCCACGTTAAAATTCTTTTGAAAATTTAATACAGAAACTGGAATACACTTAACAACGCAAACACGACACAACTCTACACTAAAATTTACAAAAAACACACACTCACACTAGCAAATTAACAACAATTCTAAGATTCTTTGTAAATTCTGAAACTCCAAATTACGACTTGCTCAGTGAAAATTATTTGAAAAATTTGAATTTCTTATTGTCTATGCAAGAAAAGTACATAAAATTATGTAAAAATGATTAGTTGCTTCTTGTTGCAAAAATTTGAGCGAGTCATTTTTAGGGGTAAATTACTCTGGCTGAGCTAAATGAGGTATTTTTTTTTTAATTCTACTTAAGTTTAATGTTCTGTGAATGGTAATGGTAATTTTTCATTGCTCATTATAAAAAAAACCCAGTTTTTAAATAAATTAGTTAAAATCTCATGCACTACTAATTTATTGTTTCAAAATAATAGCACAAATTTTTGTCTGTGTGCATTTCAGGTGGGGTTGTAGCAAAGCCAGTGCCTGCAATTGTCAAAGAGTCGTCGGTGGAGGAGCTTCCGCCGTCGTCGGCGCTCAAGAGGGCCGTTTCGTGCGATTCGCTGAGTTCAGACACCTCGGTGGTGCTCGAGCACCTCGAAGAGCCCAACGTCACCGGCTATTTGTGCATCGGGCTGGAGTACGACAAGTAAGTCTCAAAAATCAGTCCGCCTTTCTTTCATTTGCATGCTCTGTGGCCCTTAAAAATCGGAATTTCGGCGAAAAGGTCGTTTGTAAGCCTCTTTGGGAAATCTCCCGGAGGAAAACGAATCAATAGCAGACACAAAGCTGCCTACAGTTCTCTTCCCCAAACTTAACTTTCCGCGCACAATATTTCGCCGTCACTCGGAGTGACAAATTGCTTCTCCATGTGCGTGTAAGCCTGACTCTTCTTGCTTTTGACTCGACAGGACTTTGTGCGGGAGTGACATGTCTGACCTCGTGGTTAGCGTCTTGGAGGCCAAAGACCTCACCGGCCCTGACCCCACACAGCAAATCGACTCTTACGTCAGGGTTTATTTGCTTCCGGACAAAAGCTCCAGTCTGCAAACCAGGGTGAGTAAAGAATGCCAAAAGTAATTCTAGAGGATTTTCCATATTTACTGCGGAAATTTATTGAAACTAAAAATTATATAGAACCAAGTTGGAAACGAGTGGAAAAATGATCCTTAAAATTTAAGAAAAAAAAATGTATAGATTTAATTTTTTTGATTGTGTTAATTAAATTTTATTGCATTTTTACAAAGATCAATTTTCGTATTTTTTTTTCATTGTTTTTATAATAATTATTTTTTATTTCGTCAAATTTTGCAATTATTTATAATTTTTTTAGCTAATTTAAACAAAATAATTCATCTAAAAAAATTGGTTCCAAATCATTGAGAAATAGTTTTGAAGATAATTAAAGAAATTCCACAGGGAAGAAAATTTTATAGCTTAAAATTTAAGATTTAATTTATTAAACTTTTGAATGTTTGAAGCAAAAACTTTTATTTATTAAAGTTAAATGTTATGGAAGGAAAAAAGTTGATCTCTTTTCTCTCATCAAGGGTCATAAGCAGAATTTATAAAGTTCGCAATAAGCAAAGCATCGAGTTTCACTCGGTCAAAAGCCACCCTTTACAGCGTGTAATTAACATTTCCTTTGGCAGAGCCTCGAGGGGCAACTCATTAATTCAAATCAAGCTCGAGAGATGCGCACAATATGAGGCGTTAGACTCGGTCGGCGACTCTAATATCGACAAATTGGCTTTGGCTATTTCGAGTGTGCATGCGAATGCGAGCTGCTGTGCCCGTGAACTGCGTTCGGGCCGAGCTGCCGCCAAGGTACAGCGCAGCTCTCGTCGCGTTGCCACAGCAACCCGTAATGATAATCCGCAAGGCCTGTGTCAACTCTTGGGCAAAGTTTCACACGCAAAAAAAAACAGCCTAATTCCATTCGACCGCTGCTTGTTATTAAAATTGATTCGTTTTTTGCGCAGCTCGGTGTACAAAATAATCGTTGCTCATTTCCACGGTGGCCTTTTTCAAATATTAGTTTTGTTGTGGTAGAACGGGCGGACATGCCCGACATGTTTGTTTATTGCGTTGTGGGAATTCTGAAATGCCGGAGAATCGTTTGCTCTATTAATATTGATAAAATAATTTATTTTGACTTTTCATCAAAATTCTTGCTATCTGTGGTGCCCTTTTGTAGGACTAATTATTTAATTAAATATCAAAATAATTAGTTTGATCCACGATCCAGACAATATTGATAAATTGATGTAGGCAAAATGCATTCTTCAATTATACCAGCAAATTTTTTCTTCACTATATTGCAATTTTAAATCACCTCTGTTAGTATTTGTACATAATTTATAAATTAACTTTTCTTAATTTATTTTTATATTTTTATGCTCGTTAATGATGTATACAGTGGAAAAGGTAATTTGCTGGTATAGAGATTTTTTTTCCTTTTATAATGCGAGATTTTTAATTCTTAATAAGGTCAAGGCCAAGACAAAGTGTCTTATCGGCCTGTACCCTTATGAGCTTGCAGAAGGCAAGCTCTTATTACTTTTTATCCTTTTTATTAGGTAATTTATTATTTTTATTGTAAATTTAAATTTGCAAAAATACACTTGATCAATTTTTTGCAATTTTTCCACTGATAACAAGTAATCATGAAGAAAAAACTCATAGAGATGAAAGTAATTTTAATTATTTTAGAATAAGATCGTTTTAGAGAAACCTAAATTTATATTATTTTTTCAATAATGTGTCTTGTAATTTTTTTATTATCTAGTCAAAATATGAATAAATTAACACAAGTCTTTTTATGTTAAAATAATATATAATATTAAATTATGTAATATAATTTAAAAACATTTTTAATTAATTTAATATTTTAAAATTCACAACTTCAATAAAATTAATTAAAAAACTTTCAATTTTCTTAATACTAAATTTTTTTGAAGAAGTTGACACTCGAGGAGATTATCATGGAAATGAAGGAGTCGGGCTTTTCCTCGTTGCAAAAAATTGTTTTTATTTGAATACAAACGGCTCTACCAGTTTCGGTCACTTCAATTTTTGCTGATTTTTTGTATTTTTCTTGCTCATGAAATAGGGTCGCAGGCCGTGACTGAAACTGGTAGAGCCGTTTGTTTTTGAATAAAAACAATTTTTTGCAACGAGGAAAAGCCCGACTCCTTCATTTACTAAATTTTTGTTTTGTATTTTGCATGAACTATTAATTAAAATATTTATTATTTAATAAAATAAAATATGAATTTCCATTATGATTTAAAAATTTGCTATGATTACGTATATTAAACGGCGAAATTCAATCCGCTCCAGTTTTGACTAGCACAGGAGCCAGGGTTTGCTGCTAATGATTGAAACGAGAGACACAACAGCTTCAAAAATTACCGCTCTTGCTGCCGCAACTTTCACATTATATACAACGCAAATTTGATGAATGATTATTATTATGGGTGGCTGGTGCCTGGCCAAAATTGCGTTGATAACAAGTGGCTGCTCAACGTCATTCTTACTTTTATTCGGTCACCATGGCAACAGACGCAGGACCGATGTAGTAGTTTTTCTTCACTTCCATCTGGGCTGACGTGCGGCAACGTAAAAAAGAAAATATCCAAAAAAAATCTCCTCTTACTTTCAATGGCATGTTGAGGAGAAAAGTCGTTTGCGAAAACGTGTTGATCTCTTTATCCAGATTCGACAGAAAGGAGGATTAGAATCGAAAATATAACTTGATTAGTTTCCTCCCTACTCTGAATTCCCTCAGACCAATTAAGAGTTTCGCAGAAATGGAAAATCCTCTTTGATGATTATGTTGCTATGATTCCTCTCCAGCAACAAAACCTCATCTGTTGTTTGCGTTCGCAGGTATACAAAAACTCAAACAGCCCGACCTACAAGGAAAAGTTTGTGCTGGGAATGGAGACGGCAGAGTTGATTCGTCGCTCGCTCGTCTTCTATGTTTACTCGAGCGACAAGCAATCCAACACCTTGATAGGAGAGGCAGAGTTGCGACTCAGCGATGTCACCATGCGTCAACCTGTCACCACGTGGCTCACCCTCACAGACACCGGCCAGGTAGGAAATTTTAGACTTTTTTATCAATAATTTTATTTCTATCAACCAGAATCATAAAAATTGATTTGACTTACATTTGAATACAATTGAAGATTTTTAATTTTTTTTTTTTTAAATCAATTTGGAGTAGTTTCAAAAAGAGCTGATCAATTGAAAATGGTCAATCAAAGTGACAATTTACTGCTACTTACAGACCCCTTTCTTTGAAGAACAATTCAGGTTATATCTTGATTGGCCGGCTGATTTTCCACCACGCTTCCCTCGTTCAATTAATCGTAATCGCTTTTCTCTCGACAAAGAAAACTTTCTTCCTCCTCTTGTCGTCTCTTTTTTCAACAAATTGAAAGCGCATTAAAAGGAGGAGGACAGATTTGCTTTCGTAATCAAATAGAAAAGCTTGACAATGCTGAAGCAAAGCCGTCTGCGCTTTGATAAAGGGAAAAAATCAAACTGAAAAGAACTTGCCTTTGTATAAAGAGGCGAATCTGCAATCCTGTCGAGCCATTATGCAAAAAAGAGGTTTTTTATATGAATTAAAAACAAAAGCTTGGTATTTTTATAATTTCATAAATTGCGTGCTTCTAAAAAAGCGGTCGCTTTCATCTCTTAATTGGCACTTTCCATTAGCACATTACTGCGTTAATTTGAGAGCAAGGCCAATGGAAACAAGCATTTGCAAGTTGATGTGAATGCGGAATGCTTCAAGGGTGGTAGAATTTAAACGAGAGGAAAATAATATTAAAACATTTTCAGATTTGGAATGAATTAAATGTTAAACGATATTAAGGACACGTTGAATTCTTTTTAATTTACAACTTTAAAAAAAAAAAAATTATAATTTAAAAATAAAAATTACTCTTTTAAAAACTATAGATCCGACGATTTTTAACACAAAATCAACCAAAATATCCAATTTTTAAATAAAATTTTCTCATATTTTATAATAATTTTTCAAAAATTATAGCGATCGTCCTGACAATTTTGCCCAACTTTAGAAGAAGAAAGTAAACACGTGTCATCGATTATCAGTAAAAGAGGGCCTCTTTTTAAGGCCACTCTATGGTAATCACACCTTATCGTGTAGCACCGAACGCAGCTAATCAATTTTAAGCCTGTCAAAACAGCGATTCGAGTGCCGCGCTCTCAAATCCACCGACCTGCGCCACTCATTATTCAGCGGCGCACCGGAATACAAGCAGTGTGTGGTGTGTTGTTCATCACGTCACCCACATTACGCCTCACACTTTGCGTGCCGCGAATGAGGCAACAAAATCAAGCCTGTTAGCTTCGGATCGAATTTGAAAGAGAAAACATAAAAAAAACCACATGTTTCTAATCTACCAGAAAATAGGGACAAACATGAAACGCCTGTTAAAATTGACCTTAGGCAACCTGGTGAACTTTAAAGGTGTGCCGGTTGCATAGCGGAAAAAAGTTTTGCTTTTTAGGTTATTGCAAATTTGAATGGATGAAAATGAATGTTATTTAATCTGATTTGTTTGCAAGAACACTTTATACAGAAAATAATCAAGTTTTTAACTGTTTTTTACTTTTCTAAAGAATTATTACTGATTTTTTTTTTTTTTTTTTTTTTATAAATTGACTTTGGCTTACGAGCGCCGGTTTTTGATTGGAAAATATTTGCGCTCGGCACCACTCACTCTGAATAGGCCCTCAACTGTAGTGGCTGTGAAAAGTCGTAACCGCCATTCTCGTCAACTGATCAATAGAATTTAATTAGTATTTCGACCTTTATCACTCTGGCGATACACACAAGGGCCGAGAGCGGCGTTGCCGCCACCGATTCCGCCAAGGAAAAAGAAGAGCGCTTGGCACGATAATAGGCTCGGTCGTAAAATAAAATAAAAAAACGAGAGGAAAGGGCGCGGTCTTGCAGCTGGAATTTGACCAGCACTTTATATCGCGGAAATGTGCTGCTGAGCAAGAGCTTTTAAAGATGAACTGCCTCGAAAATCACGCCAGCGCTGCAAAATTGCTCAGTCGAGGATGATAATGTCGTCCGTGCGGGTGAAATGATCGGGAGAGGTTATCTATAAATTGATTTTTTGTAGATTTGATAAATTGGTCTCTTAACTACGTCAATTTAGGTAATATAAAATAGATTATAGAGTATAATAGAAAAAAAATATTACAAAAAAGTTATAAATTTTTTTCTTAAAATTAACTTTATTTGTATGAAATGTGTTTTTTTTTTAACGTTTGACAGCTCTGGATTTTTTCTTAATTAATAGTTCAATATTATAAAAAAAGGTTTAAAATATTTTGACCATCCCACACAATGGGAAATCCAGATTAAGTTCTGACGCACGCACCACGCACTATTTTATGCACAAACATCAAACGCTTTGCAGTCTTAGCTGTGATCATAATTAATTGCTGCCCAGGCTGGGCTAATGTACTCCCACGTCGCTGCGCAGGACGATAATGCCTCTGGGCACCGAGTTGAGCCATTTGAGGCTTACGTAATTCGTAATTTAATCATCGGAGCAGAGCGGCGTTGTTAATTGTCACGCGCAAAATAACACGCACTTCACCAGAAGCGCCGCAGCAAGAGCCACTTGTGCCCGGCAAATTACATAATTTAGCGTGCTGCCCCTTTTCTTACGTCTTCCAGAGGACCCTTTTAATTATTTAAAGAGGGAAACGAGAAAATAATTTTTTTGCTTGGAATTTTTATACTCATGACTCATGACAAGTTAAGAATGATACACCAATATGTACATTAATGTTGAATTTCTCATTAGTTCCAAAATTCGTTCAGAGTCCCGTCAAGCACTCTATTGCAAACAATATTATTCATATAACTTTTTAAAGATCAGAACTGGATGCAGTTTGCTAAACATCTTAAAATTTTGCACTTCCGACTATTTATTTATAAAAGGGATTAAAATTTGTAGAGCTTTTTTGTATTGGTTTTAAAAAATAACACTGTATTATTAATTTTATTTTGCTTTGCAATTTACATTAAAAACATGAGAAACTAATTTAATTAAGAGATTAAATAAATGTAACTGTTTTAAAGACTTAAAATTATTATTAAAAATATGATTATCTGTGAATTTTTAACAATTACATGTAATTATAAAGATCTTTTTTAATTTTTTTTTTAATTTGTTCTAGTTACCAACTCTTTATTTCCCTTAAAAAATAAATATACAGAAATTTTGCACAAGTTGCCAAAACATTGCAGCTTTGACCGCGACAGCAACAAGCAAAAAAGATAATACAAGACGCTAAAATAATTCCCCCTATTCCGACGCAAACTTTTTCCTGCCCGGAAAGCAAAGTTGTCGGCCGCAATAAAAAAGTAAAGAAAACATTTGTGCGAGCGCGACAGGAGAGAAATCGATTCGGCCTAGACTTTTGTCGTTTTTGCCCAAGCGACGTGCGTGCGAAAAGATAAATGATTACATCTGGTTGTTTGCTACTACAGTGCTGTGATTTCAGGAAAAGACTCTTCCAAAAGCAAAACTCGTCGTCTTCGATGCTCATCGATCTCTGATAAAATATTTCATGATTTCAAAAATGTTTGAAAAAAGCTAGTTTTAAAACAAAGAAATCAAAACTTGATGAAAAAGAATTAGATTCATTTTTATTCCTACTAGTAAAAATGTTAATGTACTTAACTTTTCCTTCACTAGAGATATACTTGCAGATATTTAATTTAAAAAGATTAAATTACATTTATATTTAATATGCTTCATTTTTTTTATTAATTTCAGAGATTTTTGCTTCAAAAAATCAAGCTAGTTCAATCAACCTCTGATTCAATTTGTTTTTTTCTACTTTCTTACTTTTTTTATATTTTCTCTATCGTGTTTCGTCCTAGATGGAAATCTGCATATAGCATATTTGATTTATCGTACAAATTACGTTTTGAAATGCAAGTAATTAATCTTGAGCGTCAAAGGACTCACACGTCTCGGAATGTTTAATATGTGCCGACAGAATTCAATTAGTGCACTATGGTGGTTCGCGTGCTGCGTTTTCTTCCTTTCGCTTCGCCCAATAATGCGAATCGAGCTTTTCGCTCACCAGCAGGGAGCAACAACGAAAATGATGAGCGAACGCAGCACGCGGGAGCTCTCGACATTGGTTTTCGAAACTCATCTGAACAATAAATTGGTAGCAGATATTATCCGTTACATGACAGCCAGGTCTCTTAAATGATTCATAAAAAAAAACACACACACACACACATCGCATCAGTGAAAAGCTGACATTGTATTCGTTTCACCGCGATCAACCCTTGATCGTTAATTTCTGCATCAAAGTAAAAACAATACAATCTAAGCCTGAATTAGATTCTGGTTAATTAATTACTTTAATCAACTTTTATCATTCCATTTTCAAAGCAGAACATCGTTAATTCTAGCTTGGAAATTTTACCAAAACTGTTTTAATCGGCGATGAAAATTAATTTCATGATTAGTAGTGCCGTATATAGGATAATGCTTGCCTCAATAACCATCCGCGGATAATATCGGTTTAAAAAGGCAAATTGGTTAAAAGATTAAATTTGCATTTTGTTTTTAACATTTCGGGACTCTTGTAAAATGCCCTGTTTGGTGAAGTAGAATCTAAAGAAATAATTTTGTCCCTTCAAAACAATTTTTTTGCGCAAACTAAAGTTTGATTAAAGTCACGTTTTTTTCCAACCTAAACAAGCGCTTGTGTTTATTTGCAATTGTACGATGGCGACTCTTTCTGTGTTGCAATCAAACATTCAATATGTGTACTAATGCTCATGTTGCTCTACGTCGTGTGTTCATAATAGTACACATCAGATGCATTATTACGTTAATGTACTGCAAATCAATACTCTTCTGCTATAAAAGCAGCAAAAAATGCGCAGCTCTTTGCTTGTAGCGAATGCAATTTTGCTTCGCATCAGAAGATCAATTTGGTTTAAAGATGAGATAATTTTCAACCAAAATTTTGTACAAAACTAATCTTATTATTAAATAATGATCTTAAATTCATTTCTAGCAATTTCATTCATAAAAAATACTCGCAAAAAAAACAATTAATCAGTTTACTCATTGCTTTACTTCTTTCTGTAGTGCCCATTTTTCACAAACTTAATTAAAATGAAAATGTTTTTAAAAAAAATAGCATAAACATATTAAATTTAAATTTCAAAAACAAATTTTAATTGAATTAATTTCCCAAGTTAAAAAAAAAGAATGCCTAAGTACAAGAATATTATGATTTTAATAAATTTTCTTATTAAAAGTTTTGGTTGATGACATCAAAGGACTAATCTGCCCAAAAACATAGAGACTCTAATTCTCATCTCGTGCGTCATTGCTCAAATCCTTGCGAATAAAGCTCGTCGAACTGCTTCATTTGCTTGCAAACGACGACCGTTTTTTTTTTTTGCCTTTGACAAGGCGCAGCGAGCGAGAGAGAGACACGCTCAGATAGAAATTCGCCGCTTTTTATTTTCATTACACGGCCGCAAACAAAAGGCAGCTCATTTTCCGACTGCAAGTTTTACTCCGATATTAGTGCTTTGCGTTTTATTATTTCGCTGGCGAGAGAGGGAAAGAGAGGGATGCGAAAAGGACGTGTGGCGCACTGCAGCTTCTGCTTTTACTCCAGCGAGAATGTATCTTTTCGACGGAGCCACCCGGCCCGTGATAAATATTTCATCCGGAGCTTTTAGCCCGCTGAATTTTACATTTCCAGGAATCGCAACTTGTTGTGAAAAAGGTTCCGCGTTCTCTCGAATAATAATCGGCTGGAGCCGAGCATGATGATGATAGAGTTATTGATTCGCGACCGAGAGGATTCCCGAAGGTGCAAATTACTATGATGAAAAAAAAGTCAGCCGATAACCGACCCAGAGGGCTTATTTTCAAATCATTTTTGAATATTTATCACAGCCGTCAGAGACCTTTCTAAGGAATTAGCAAACTTTTGCATAAATTCTATTTAATAAGATTAAGGAAGCAGCGGAGTATTTTATTGAAAGGCATCCAAAGTGCTCATGGTAGATTGAATCACCTTTAAAAACTTTCCAGGCAACTTCTCACTAAAACTAAGTTTCTAAAATTGAATTTTGCAGAGTGATTTCTAAAACTAAATGAATTTAATATCAAGATTCAAGAAGATGTTACGAGTTGAATCAACTCTTGCTGCAATTTGACGTATTTATTTCCTTAAAAAAAAAGAAAAGAAAATATTATAAACCTTAAATATAAAAGTTACTCATAATCATTTAAAAACAAATCAAATTTTATTTCAAGAACGATTTCCTGTCGATGTAAATTTGAATAAAAAACAAATTATTAGTAAATTTTTCACGTCTTTCGGAAGAGAGAATGTATTTAAAATATTGAAAAGTAAATTATTTATAGTTTAATATTTGATGAACTCTAAATTCACCAAAAAATTTGAATGTTAAAAATTAAGATATACTACGTACCGAGCTGGTGGCGAGGAAAGTTTTTCAAATTTTCCAATTCCAAGTATTATGATAATTAAAAACTATTTTTATAAGTTATCGCCTTTTCAAAGAATCGAGCCATCTAACAGACTTAATTATCTTTAATTATTTCTGAAACACTCTCCACACGCACGATATGTTAAGACCAGCCATTAAATTTTGACGGCGCATTGATTTCCTCTCTGCAAGAAGCAAATATAAGTCCCTTCCTGGCCTGGCCGAAATTAATTGGCTGCTCGCTGAAGATGAAAAGCTATTTTAGAAAATTCGCACCTCTCCAAAACACGTTTGCACAAAAATGAATGAGCTATAAAAAGGAGCGCTTTAATATCATATCTGCGCAGGAGCCAAACCGAGCGAAGGACCTTTCATTTCACCAGGCACAGCACAGAGAGCCTGGCATGGAAATTCTCAGAATATTTCCAGCGGAAAGGTTCGCTTGCAAAGGAAAAGGGATCGAGCGCAAAATTTCCACGCCGGCAAATAATCCTGCCGCATTAGTTTGACCTTTTGTTTGTGAGACGGCGACTCTCTGCGAAGAAGAGTTTTCCATGCGTCCTTTCTAGGGAACCAATTCTGCTACATCAAAATCGCATTTGGTAGCAGGAAAATCTTCTGTGCGATTCCAACTTGATGCGTTAAGTGCAAATTGCAAAAATCAATAGTCTTCGGAAAATTTTGCGTTGAATAATAAAATTAAAGATTTACATTTTATTTCAAGGCGGCCAGATTTGTAATTCATTCTATTTATTTTAATATCATTTTTCTTTCGAAAAATTATATAGAAATTTATGAAAGGGTTATATTGAGCTTATTTTCTCCCCTTTCATAGTTTTGCTAAAATCTCTCCGCCTAAATCGACGAATAGACCTTCTAGCTTTTGCGCAAATTGATGGCCTCACAAATATCATCCTTTTAAGAAAAGGGCGGTGTGTGTTTTTGCCGCTGCGAGATTTGGTCCCATGTGGGCCGAGGGTTGCCGCGAGATTTAGTATCTTCATCATGGCGCACACGCAGGCCCCATCCATCCCTGCTTTGCCACCTCGAACCGAGCTACGGCCTCGCGCTTTATTCATGTGTGTGCGAATTGCGAATCCGACCCTTCGGCTTTGTTAGCATGAGATACCAACACTCTAATCTACTCCGGCCTGCCGCGCGCGTCTGTGTCCGTGCTTTATTACGCGCTCAGCCGCTCTCTTGTGTTTGCCGGTCGTGTGGACTCGATGAAATATTCAGCTTGAGTTCGTTATTGCCTTTAGAGACAGTGCAAATTGTGAAACTCAAATAAATGCATATATTTTGAGAATTGAAAAATTAAAAAAATACATATTAATATCTTATTTATATTTTCTTTCATATTTATCATTAAAATTAATAATTTTAATAATACTATTGATTTTATGCTGATTTGAATCTAAAATCGGCTTTTCCTCGATGGGTTTTGTGAGGTGTTCATTGTTTATAAGAAAAAACAATATCCCATCTTAAACAATGAACAACTCACAAAACCCATGGAGGTAAAGCTGATTTTAAATCCAAAATACCATGAATCAACTCTCAATCGTGAAATTCTACCACAATATTAATTTTAAATTATCTGTTTATATGATTTCTCAATTATATTTTTAACAGTGGCAATATAAGACATAAAAATGATTGCTTTTAATTTTATTAGTAAATCTATATAAATCAAATACACTTAATAAGTTAACACTGATTTAAAATTGACTGTTTTTAGAAAGTTAATTATTAAATTTTTATATATTAAAGATATATTTTTTAAATAATTTAATTTAACATTTTATTAATTAAAATTATATGTTTAAATTCTTTTTTATTTTTATAAATATATTTTTAATTACATTGTATGTTCATAATATTTTAAACATTTGAATATTTTAAGTATAAAATTTTATTTAAAAAAATTATTTTTAAATGTGTTCTGTACATACAAATTACCCTTCATTCAAATATTCTTATATCGTTTACAGTCAAAATAATCTTTTCTGATGGATTGTTATGTTTCATAATTAACCACACATGATAAATTTGAAAATCTAAAAGCCAGCAAGTATATCCATATCATGGCAAACATGTTATGCGGGCTGCCTTTCTCTGCGCTTTGTTATCGCGTCAAGTTTCCCGCTGGCTTGCTGTTTTGTATGTGCGGCCGGGCTTTCAGTTTATTGGTGCGAAAATTAACGAATTCAGACTCTGCTCTTTTTCCACCGCAGTGTTAAAAGGGCGGCCAAGTCCGCGCCCTATTACTGCCTTCGGACGTGCCCGGAAAAGCGCCGCTTTTATTATTTTCTGCAGAAGGAAAATGGGAATAAAAAAGCATAACGTTCGTTCATATACGACTCTTTATTGCATGGTAAATGCGAAAACAATACTCTTCATCTCATACTGGAATCGAATTCCGCTGCTGAATTTAACAAGTGACGATGCAACATCAAAATCCAAAATAAAACAGCAGAATCCTGGATAACAATTTTCATTTGTCTAAATGATATGACTTTGGAACAGAAAAATATATAATAACTTTCAAAAGAGAATTGGGCGTTTTGGAAACTAGTTGTGGCACTATAACGACTCAATATAACTTTTTTTAACTAAAACTGTATCTACAAGAAAATATAAGCTCAGCTCCCGTGAATACATAAATTGAACTTCGGTTTGCACCCAAAACTAATCGAGACCTCAGTCGGTGAGGAATGAAGATAAGACTTTGCATTGCTAAACGTTATTATTATTTCTTGATCACGCTTTTGATCGGTTTATTGTATACACATTCATACATTTTAATATTTACCGGAATGAATTCGCACAACCCAAGAACCTTTACAACACACAGGCCCGAGTATAGTTAAATATGGTACACGATTATACAGGAATTTACAATGAATCTGAAACAAAACTTTAAACTTGGAGGAATTTTATCACAACAATAATTAATATATTCTTTCAACAACTACCTAACTTTTATTGAGTGAAAAACCTTTCCGAGACGATCGGAAACGCTTTCCCCTCGTTGCTTTTCTATTTTGTGTGTGATAATCATCGTCGGCCGGGGGTTGACTTTCTTACTGCCTGTGCATGTGGCGCGAGTCGCGGGGGTAGAACTCGGCCAGGGTGTTAGCGGGGATGCGCTTGAGCATCTCCTTGGGGAAGATTCGCAGCAGTTGCCAGCCGATGTCGAGCGACTCGAAGACGGTGCGGTTCTCGTAGTTGCCCTGGGTGATGAAATTCTTCTCGAACTTGCCCAAGAACTCGAGGTAGAGCAAATCGTCAGGGGTGAGCGCCTCCTCGCCGACGACGGCCTTCATGGCCTGCACGTCCTTGCCGATGGCGTAGCACGCGTACAGCTGGTTGGACACGTCCGAGTGGTCCTTGCGGGTCATGTCCTCGCCGATGGCCGACTTCATGAGACGCGACAACGAGGGCAGCACGTTGACGGGCGGGTAGATCTGTCGGTTGTGCAGCTGCCGGTCCACGTAGATCTGCCCCTCGGTGATGTAACCTGTCAAGTCGGGAATGGGATGGGTGATGTCGTCGTTGGGCATGGTCAGGATGGGGATCTGCGTGATGGAGCCGTTGCGGCCCTCGACGCGGCCGGCACGCTCGTAGATGGTGGCCAAATCGGTGTACATGTAGCCGGGGAAGCCGCGACGGCCGGGCACCTCCTCCCTGGCGGCCGACACCTCTCGCAGGGCTTCGGCGTAAGAGCTCATGTCGGTCAGGATGACCAGCACGTGCTTCTCGCACTGGTAGGCCAGGAACTCGGCGGCCGTGAGCGCCAGACGCGGGGTGATGATGCGCTCGATGGTCGGGTCGTTGGCCAGGTTCAAGAACAGGCACACGTTCTCCATTGAACCGTTTTCCTGCAGACATAAAATTTGAATATTTTTTATTGCAATTTCAATGTAAATTGAACCTGAAACTAAATTTACTGATCTGCTTTTGGGTTAAAAAACTATTTCTTATAAAAAAAATCATTGAAAAAAGCAAAAAATCCCATATATATTCTGATAACAATATAGTTAAAATCATTTTAAAACCAAAATTTCTTACATTAAAAGCTTTGAAAATACTTTTGTAATGACAGATTGACCAGTCAATTTTTCTTAATTTTTCCTTTTAAAATTTCGGAGCCCGAATTTGTTACCAATCATTGAACCCACCTCGAAATCCTGCTTGAAGAAACGGGCAGTCTCCATGTTGACACCCATGGCAGCGAACACAATGGCAAAGTTGTCCTCGTGCGAGTCCATCACCGACTTTCCAGGCAGCTTGACCAGACCGGCCTGACGACAAATCTGGGCAGCGATTTCGTTGTGCGGCAAACCAGCGGCCGAGAAGATTGGAATCTTCTGACCACGGGCGATTGAGTTCATCACGTCAATGGCCGAAATTCCGGTCTGGATCATTTCCTCGGGGTAGATACGAGACCAGGGGTTGATGGGTTGACCTGTTTACAAAAAAATTTCAGTTAAAATTTTATGATTTTAAATGGTTCATTTCAATCGTACCCTGAATGTCGAGGTAGTCCTCAGCCATGATGGGAGGTCCTTTGTCGATGGGCTTGCCGCTGCCGTTGAAGACTCGGCCCAACATATCCTCAGACACGGGGGTTCTCAAAATATCTCCGGTGAACTCGCAGTCGGTGTGTTTCGCGTCAATGCCCGAAGTTCCCTCGAACACCTTCAGAGTTACATTTTAGTCTTTTGGTTTTAATTTCTTTTTTTAATTTTACCTGAACGACGGCCTTGGAGCCGCTGACTTCCAGCACCTGTCCAGACCTTTTGGTTCCGTCCGCAAGGGACAGCTGGACGATTTCAGCATATTTGGGGAATTTGACGTCGTCCAGGATGACGAGGGGGCCGTTCACACCGGACACGGTCTTGTACGTCAGCCTTGGTTGCGAAATGTAGTCCCTGGTGATGGCCAGGGCGTGTTCCTTGTTGGCCTGGTTGGCCGGCATTCCGTAAGATCGAGACATTTCTGAAAAATAATTCAAATCAATTAAATTATAAATTTCAGACAAAATTACAATCAAAATTATGACACAGGTTTTCTGATGTAAAATAAAGTTTTTCAGGTGAATTTTAGAAAATTATGTAAATTCAAACAAAATTCACTAAAAAATAGGTTGAGTAGGGTCAAAATGGTCAAAGGTGGGCGTTTGAAGCGCGTTTAAAAGGCTAGATGCCCTCAGGGCAAAACTCCAGATTTTGGCCCCAGATTGAGTCAAAAGTGGTGAAAAGTCGGAGCCAAACTTTCCGAATATAAAACTTTTCAACCAACACCCCAGTTTTCCGCACGCGAATCGCGTGATTCGACAGATATCGGCTTGAAAAACTTGCAAGCAGGGCCAACATATGGTGGCTTCGAAACGTTATCGATCGACCCGAACTAGCGGAAAACGCACCTCACGTCTCAGCGACGACTTCTCGCAGCTCAAACTGTTGAAAAATGGGTTCTCTGGACCTTCTCTGAATTCAATGAAACCCGAATTCGGCCGTCGAAAGAGCAGAAATTCGACGAGACGCAGCTGCTTGGCGAAGTGTCGGAGGCAGTCAGCAGGTCACAAGACCGATCGTTCGTTCGCCAACTCGCAACTTGGCGAACCTGGCGCTGCCGTCGGCGGGCGGCGCTTTTGAATGCAGACGATGGTAGGCAACACGCATGACAGGGGTGCGCAGCGGGTTGCCTAACATGTATACCGATGGGGTTTGGACTTGGAACAGGAGGAATGAGGAATATATCATGGCAATTTTAATATTTATTATTAAAATTTAATCATACTCTATGGCCAGTCAGAGTTCAATCCAGCGTTATATTTACATACATGTTGAAATTTTAAAATTAAATAATCGTAAATAATCGTGCGTGTTGCATTGAATAAACAACGATTAAACAAAAAATAATACAAAAGATAGAACACCTGCAGACAAATTTTAAAACTTTATACATAATTACGAAAAGGTTTCTATTATTTTTTATATATTTTAAGAAAAAAATTAAAAAAAAAGCATCTTTCTTCTCTCAGTTGACCAATACTCTAAACCGGCAATTGATAGAATAGATATTAGAAAAGCAAAGTAATAATTTTATATTTTCCTCTCTTTTTTCCCCAGAGAGGCACAGAATTTGGCGAGCTCATGTTTTCCCTGAGCTACCTTCCGACGGCGGAGAGGCTGACGGTAGTAGTGGTGAAAGCCCGCAATTTGCACTTCCCATTAACAGGAGAGACTGGCGACTCTTTTGTGAAGGTCAGTATAGAAATTTGACACTGCGAGAAAATGTTCTAAGAGTCATGCTGCGTACAGGTATATTTACTTCAACACGGTAAAAAGGTGCACAAAAAGAAGACGTCGACCAAAAAGTCAGAACGGAGTCCCATTTTTAATGAGGCCATGATTTTCAGTGTACCCGCTCATTCCTTACAGGTAAATAAAACTATTCTACCAAATGTTTTATCAAAAGCTATATACAAAAATCTAAATTTAACTTAATTAATTACAAATTTAGAAATGAAACTTGAATTCATAAATAACATTTAGAAATATAATTATTTGTAGAGTTGAGACTAGGCTGTTCCTCAATAATTTGTATTTGGATTGGGTCTGCTGGTATTTAGCTACATAAAAACAGCTTGTGTGGCTGAAATATGTACCCACAATTGCCCACAATTAAGAATGGGCTGAAAAAATTAAAAAACAAAAAATCAATTTCAAATTTAAAACCATAATTTTTTAAATAAAAATGTTAAAAAAAAATTGCAATAAATTTATACTGTATTTTAAAATATTTAAATAAATATATTTTAGAATTTATTTAAAAAAAAAAGATTTTCTATAATTAAGAATTTTTTTTTAAAAGCCAAAGAAAGATATAGACTATGAATTAATTAATGTTGTTTTTCTTCTCTTCGTCAGACTATTCAGCTTCGACTGACTGTGGCAGAAAACACAGGCGAGCCGCGGGCGCTTTCCGTCGGGCACGTGATTGTAGGTTCGCAAGCCTCCGGCAAGGCTTTATCTCACTGGAACCAAATGCTAACGTCGCTGAGAAAGCCCATCGCCATGTGGCACCCGCTGAGGAAGTGATTCTAATAAAGGGCCAAAGCAGCGCCGTTCCACGCAGAGCAGCACAACTTTAATTGTATAAAAATATATCACTTTTCTAAATGGATTTGGGATTTTGTAAAAGTTGTTGATAACTTAATTGTACTAGGTGAACTTGGGTAACTTTCCACTGTACTAATTTATACTATATTTAATTTTGTTTTTGTGTGGACGTGGAAAAATAAGGAATGGTTTTTGTCGTTAACATAATGTTTAAAAAGAATTAATTATTATCAGACAAAAGACAAAGACCAAAATAAAGGCTATTAATAAGCAATGTTGTAATTTCTCATTAATATTTAAAGAGATATATTATAAAAAAAATTCTCGACACCCTTGTTCAACATGGTATTTATATTTATTTCTATGTTTATTTTCTCCCAAACTTAAAATAGATAACTCATTTTTTTATGAATTTAATGAATAGGAAATTCTACTGTGACTGAAAATGTGCCGTTGAAAAGAAACTTACTAATATAATATAATCTTATCTAATTGTGATACCAGAATACTAACTGTTATTATTAAAAAAAATAACAAATAACACAATATTTATCTTCCAAAAATATGACACGAGGAGATGGATGTAAGAGATCCCAATAAGTGTGAAATATTGTGTAATATTCTACAATTAAGGTAACGAAAATGGCATAAAAGTAAATTAGTATTAAATATCGCAAAATGCAAGTTGTAGTTTTTTAATTCCACCAATTAAATCTGTCAAATCTTGATAATTACAAAAAGAATTTAAATTTTATAAGTTCAACGATAACAAAAAAGTAAAACTTCAATTTCTTTTGAAAATTTGGTAACAAGTTGATGGAAGTCATATGTATTGAGAAATTTTGCGGACAATAATCTTGCATTACATACATATTGGAGTGAAAAAATTATTGCCAATTATTATACTCAAACCTGAAAATACTATTCTCAAGGACAGTACAATAGTTCATTAAGCATTATGAAACGAAGAGATAAGAGATATAATATTCACTGCGCAGAAAAAGGAAATTGCTTCTCAAATTGAATCAGATTTTAATTTTCATAAAAATATAAAAGTGTAAAAGATATTTTTAAGTGGTGCTATTCTGCATAATTTGTTTCAGAAAATAACTATTATACTATAAACAGTCTTGATACTCCTCTTACCTCGTTCTATTTTTGCAACTATAAAATACCACTTTAAAAATTTTAAATTTGATTTAGTTTTTTAACTTCAGCACAATTCAGTATTAAGAAAATGTTGAAACTATAATTTTGATGCCACAAATTTCTTGTTTCATTATGAGAAATAAAAAATACTGCTCTTATTTCCATTTTCAGATATCGGCATCGCTTATTTGTGAATGTTCTTTCTTTGTAACGTTATGTTTAGTGGGAATAAAAAAAATCGAAAAAAATATCTGGAAAAAGGATAGTTTTATTTTTCAACCAGTCCAAATTTACCTCACTCTCTTGGCATTTTATTAATAAGTAATAACTAGTATTTAAGAATAAAATATCCATATAATATAATTATCATTATGAATTATCATATTTGCTAAAATTAAATATTATATATCATTTCCTAGCGGCCGACAGCAGAAGCTTATAAAGGGGCGTGCCAGGTGAAAAGTGAAAATCTGCTGAATGTAAAAATAATTACTACGAAAACATTGTACAACTTAAAAATTATACCAATATTCTTGCTGAAAAAGAATCCGGCCAATTTTTATTTTGAAGGTTTGACTTTTCGGAATTCCTTTTTTTTAAATTTTAATAAAAATTTCGGCATTTATGTATTATGAAACAACAGAGAGATAAAAGATGAGTGCCGTGGACCAGTTAGAGGAGAACCCAAAGGATGTTTTCGAGACGGCAGTTCGTCTGCTGCTGACAGTGGCTGACAACATCCTCAACAACCCCAGTGAAATCAAGTACAGGCGTCTTAAGTTGGCAAACAAGAATGTGTCTGAAAAGCTGCTACCCGCCATTGGTGCGATCGAGTGCCTTTTCGAAATGGGCTTTGATGAAGTAAAAATTAATTCTCACGGAATCTCTTTAATCAAATTATTTTGCAGGGAGACGACAGTTTTGTGATGGCAATGTCCACATCGCTGCAAAACTTGCGAACGGTCAGAGAAAAATTGGCGAATTTGCAGAGGAAGATCAACGAGCCAAAACCTTCAACGTCCGCCAATCAATTAAGTCTCACATCGAAAGCTTCCACTTCCTTTTTGGCTCAAAATGATGATCAGCATTTCACCAGCGAGTCCTTTAAAGTTCCCACGTTCCACCGAATCACCAGCTCGATCGTAGAATTTTCCAAATTAAATGAGAATATAACTATAAATTTATGATATTTTCCATAGAGTCCAAGGTTTCTTCAATCTGTTGAGTCCCGCGCCCACGACGTCCTTCAATATGAGAGCAAGGCTTTACAAGCAAGGGCTAGGTCTGTGGTTCCGGTGGACGAACTGTGGCTGCGAGCCCAGAAGGCTCTAAGCAACCATCAGTTGGAGAAAATTGGCGTTGAAGATGTAGAGGAAAGAGGACTTCCAGATCTGATGCTCTATGAGCTGTTGCAGTGGTTCAAATATGAATTTTTCAAGTGGGTCGACCAGCCCGAATGCCATAAGTGTCAGGCCAAGACTACATTTGTTGGGATGAGCTCAAACCCAGAGCATTTGAAGGCAAGCAAATTTTTAACTTTTAAATCGATAGAAAAAAAACATTTTTTTTCCAGGAATCAGGACGCACTGAGGTTTTTGCCTGTCCATCTGGTCATGAGACGCCTTTCCATCGTTACAACAACCCAGCCAAGTTGCTGCTGACCCGTCGAGGTCGCTGTGGAGAGTGGGCAAATTGCTTTACCCTGATTTGCAGGGCGCTTGATCTGGACGCTCGTCTAGTCGTCGATGAGACCGACCACGTCTGGACGGAAGTTTGGTCCGTGACCCAAAATCGGTGGCTCCACTGTGATGCGTGTGAGGCAACTCTGGACGCTCCGTACACCTACTCGGCTGGCTGGGGCAAGAAACTGACCTATGTGATTGCGTACTCGAGAGATGACGTCCAGGACGTTACCTGGAAGTACACGCAGGAAGCGGTGGCAGAAGTGAAGAAAAGGAGAAAACTTTGCACGGAGAGACAACTCCAAGTAAATATTTTCTAGTAAATAATATTTAGGAGTTGTGTGTAATTAATTTTATTAGAATCTGTTGAATGTGATTCGATTCCGACTGCAAGAGAAAGTGACTCCAACTCGAAAGAAATTTCTTCATAACAGAATGATCAATGAGCTGATGTCGATGATTTACATTCCTGGTCAGACAAAGGCTTTAAAAAGTACTGAAACGCAAGGCAGGACCTCTGGCTCAGAAACCTGGAGGCGCCAAAGGTAATTAAAATAATTTTTTTTTTAAATTACAGAAATTACATTTGAAAAATAATTATATGCATTTAGACAGGAGACCGGTCAAATTAATTCCAACTGGATTTGGAGACCCAATGGGCAAGAGCTTGCAGCTGGTCAGATGGTTGTGAAGTACTCCACAGCGCAGAATGTATATGTCAGGGATTCAGGAGACAAGATTAGCGGGTGGGCTTGTGGAGTCAAATCAGCCACCAATATAACCAGAAAGGTCGAGCGGGACTGGAAAATGGTTTATTTGGCTAGGGCAGGTACTACTAAAAATTTTGAATTTTTCCTATTTGCTTGATTTATGTTAATATGTTTATAATAATGTCAGAAGGCACACAAAGTGGCTCCCTGGAATGGAGATTCGAGATCCCGGAAAAACAGAAAATCGGACGTGTTGAGCTCAGCTTGCCAACAGCTCTCTACGAGACTGGCCAAATTCGATGGAAAATCTGCGGAGAGGACCCCGACCTCTGTTTCATGGTTCCATTAAGTAAGAAATTTAAATTATAAGTGAGTGTTGAAAGTATTTTGTTTTGATTTGCAGATCAATCAACCTTTGTGACAGGAGATTTTAAAGGTTGCTCAGCTTTGACAATTAAAGCAGATTTGACTGGAGGAAACGGAGAATGCGCTTGGCAACACACGCAGATTTCTCGTCAAGCAGAGGGCGATGCGTCCTTTCCACTGCAGTTCAAGGTTCAGATATTAAACTCGTAAAATGTGATATTTGAAAATTTGTGCTAGATGTTTTTATTAAAGTTTTCCCAATAAAAACTTAAAAATACAAATAGGAAAATAACACTCAATAGATTTTTCATTCTTGGATTCACCTACCAATCACATAATTACACTTTGTGTGTCACATTTATTCAACATCAGTCTAGTTATTTATAAAATTTATATATTCAAATTCAATTACGTAATCTATCGAGTTTCAATTTTTTGAAAAAAAAAAACTAAGAAGATTTTAAAAAGAGATGTAACGCCCCATATTGAAATGCAAAGATACAAAACATAGAATTTCAAATGACTTTGGCACAGGAAGCTTTGAGTGCAGGTTAACAACACAAGGATTAAGCAGTGATCAGTTTTTCAATCTGCGAAACAAGCTGTATGAAAGTTGGTCTTTTGTGGCTGTCGGCGTTCCAACAAGGCACAAGAAGTTGGACGTACAGCTTCTGCGGACACTGGGGAGGACAGGCAAGGCGCTGGCCACTCTCCAGCGCAGTCAGTAGCTGTCGGGCCTCCTCTTCTGCTGGCCAAGACCCCAGTTTTGGGTCCTCGCCAAAAGTGAACAATTCGTATAATGTAACTCCATAAGACCACACATCTGAGCTAAGCGAAAATTTTCCGTCTCGCAAACTTTCCAGAGCATACCTGATAAAATAATTACAAAAAAATACAATGAAATATATAGATTTTTTTACCATTTGATTGGCAGCTCTCTGTGAGTTTTAAGAATATAGTAATGGTTCTTCTCCAGATTTTGGGCCAACCCAAAGTCTGAAATCTTCACATGGTTGTCACTGGCGACAAGAATGTTGCGTGCAGCAAGATCTCGATGCACAATATTTTTGCTACCTAGATACTCCATGCCCTAAAAATGATTAATGAAATTTAAAATTCAACGTGAAAAATTCTTGAATTCACCTTAGCAACATCAAGAGCAAACTTTAACAGCTGGGCTTGAGTCAGAGTTTCTTGGTGTATTTTCAAATAACTTTGCAAAGATCCGTGCTGGACAAACTCCATCACTAGAGTGACTTCTGGCTCTTGGATGACGCCAATAATCTGCACAATGTTTGGGTGCTCCAAAGTCTATAAGGCAAATAAATGTTATCAAAAGTTGAAGGATAAATTCAATTCAATTAATAGCTACCTTCATAATTGCAATTTCTCTTTCAAAGTCTTGCAAGCAACTCGATATTGCATCTCCTTTAAGTCGCTTCACAGCCACCAGTTCTGGCTCTTTGTTCATTGACTCTCGTTCCAAAATTCCTCGATAAACATCACCATAAAATCCCTGTTTCATATAAAGATATTGGAAATTTTAAAAGATTTAGTTTTTATAATACTTGGCCAATTTTCCCCTGCAGCACAACATTGCACTGAGCATCTAACTCAAAAATAGGAGTCATGCACGGGTTCGACAAGTCCATCCGTGACCAAAACGAAGACAGGTCAGGAAGCTTATCCTGCATATTAAAATAACAATGTCAAAATTATTCAATTTGAGATTTCCAACATTACCCTCCCCTCTCTTTGAAGCCATGTGACATCGATGGGGGAATCTTTCAGGCTTAAATTATCACACGAGAGCTCCAGTCCAGGGTTTAGCAGACCAAAACAAGGATTTTTTGTTTCATCCAAAAAGGTCGTATCTTTAAAGAGAAAAATAATATAAAAACAGTATTAAAATTTCTGGAAAAAAACCAACCTGTGGCACCAGAAGCCAAACTGGAACTTGAAGTGGAGAGACTAAAATTGGCAATGGACACCGTTTCGCCATTGCCATGGAATGATTGAGGGAAGACGGTAGCGTAACTGTGCTTTCGCCTCGAGTTGAAAACTGTAAAAAAAGTTTTTTAATACATGTAATTTAATAAAGGCAATTGGTAAATACCTTGGTATAGGATTTGATTTATATCTCGCATGATTGCTTGGGGCCTCTTTCGACTGTGCACATCTGTGTCCCAAGTTTCTAGAAGAAGGCGGTAAATATCCGATGGACAGTATTCTGGAGGAGGCAATCTCTTTCCCAAAAGATAAAACTGTGAACATAATTTAGTAATTATTCATTAATTTAAAAGCCTTGATTTCCAACCTTTTTCATTGAAAAAGTTTCATCGGCTTTGGACGGCTTCTGGCCATATGAAAAAATTTGCCAAACAGTTGTGCCAAATGCCCAGACGTCAGCAGCAACCGACTTTGCAGCAGAGCCCATATTTTTATAGCACTCGATTGGTATCCACGGAATGCTAAATTGAAGATGAAATTATTTATTGTTATCTTAAAGTGATTTATTTACTCTTTGTCGCTGTATTGGTGTAGTCCCGGATCAGTGAGCTTCACGTCGAAAGTATCATCAGTGTGACCGGAAACCATAAGTTGGTGACAGCGAACGTTGCCATGGACAATTCCTTGCTCCTCCTTGAATTAAACTTATTTAATAATTTTGTTCTAGGATTTTCCGATAATTACGTACCATGTGCCAAAGAGCAGTAGCAAGAGCTGTGCTTGCTTCGACCAAATCCTCAGGTTTCATAATAGGTTTATTTCTCTGAAGATACTGATCTAATGGGCCAAGCTTCAGGTACTCAGTAACCATGGCAACTGGACTGCACAGGGTCACTCCATAGAATTTGACCACAGAGTTAGACTGCAAGAATGCCCATTGGTTTGCAAGCCTCAGAAACTCCTGCAATGAATAAGAATTAAAATATTTGAAGCAGAAATAACAGTAGTTTTACTTTGTAGTATTTATCTTCATATTCTGACATTAGAACTTTCATTGCTGCCTCCACTTTGGTCGATTTTGATAACTGCAGCACACAACGATACACAGCACAAAGACCTCCTTCTTGGAACTTCTTCTCACCTGAAGGAATAAAAGGAAGTAGAAGTTGTTAAAATCGAAATTAGAACTTACCCTTGAAAACTTGCATATTTCTGGGATTTATGCATCGTGGGCCGCTAAATTCTCCACTTATGCTGGACGTTTGATCCATATTCGCATTATCCAATTGGCACAAGAGAAGAGGAGATTGATCTGAAATATTAAAACCGCCATTGAGTTGAAGAAAAAGTAGGTAAAATTTAATCCAAACCATATTCAGAAGGAGGTAAGCACTCTTCTATATTAATCTCGCCACCAGCAGCTTTGTACTTGGTGATGATTTCATTTATATTCGAGTAGCTTAGTCCATCCATTTGAAACAAAAATTGGCCGGAGTTTATTTTCTCAATTTTGTAAGTCTTTGGTTTTGAGCTACAATAAAAGGAAATTTAGTATTAAATTAAGCAAACATTACAGCACTTGCCTTCCATCTACACAGACATCTAAGAAATAAGCTTCATACTGCAACTCACTTTCTCGTAAAATGTAGCAGCCAGGTTTGCAGCCACGTTTTTCTTCCAATTTGGCATAGGAAAATTCCCCGCTAACGTAAATTCAAAGTTTAATTATTTATTTTTGAGGTTATAAAAAATTGCAATTACCCAACAGGTCCATGGCACTTAAGGAGACCAAGTTTGAGCAGCGAAGGAGTGAACAAGTCAATGCAAAGGTTGAATGTCCACTTTGAGATTAAACGATAGTAGCCGTCGAGTAAGCTGACAAATGAGTACATGGTTTGCTTATTGGCAAATTTCAGGTATGAAGGGATTCCATTTCTCCTTGATATCTCCACAGTTCCATCGTCTCGGACCGATATGTAGCACAGACCTTCTATTGAACACAACTCTTTCCACTAAAAATAAAAAGGTTATTTTTATTGTGATCAATTTTTAAGATCTATCCAATGCTTACGTCTTTCTTTCCTTCAACGCAGATCCAAATTCCAGGCAACGTTTTGTGAAACGGATTTACACTCAAGTTGATTTTGTAAACGACTCCAGCCTCGTCAGTCAGGGCTCGGAACTCTTCAGTCAAATAGTTAGGGGCCATCTCCTCAAAGCGCTTGATGTAAACACTCTTGACAAAGGCAGGATCGTTCTGTCCACTATTTTGGATTTTGTCCAAACTCTCCATGATGGGTCTCTTCATGAAGAATGAGTGATGCTTGACAACTTCTCTCGGAATGTACTTTTTGTAGTCCCTCTTGACCACCGAGATGGGCACCTTCTTTTCCAGGATCACCCGGTACATGTCTGTAACTCCAAGACCAGCAAGGGCTCGCCTGTGCTTGTCGAAGACAATGTCCTGGATTTTGTTCTCGATGATGTCGTTTTTGCATTGGTGGAAAAAATAATTGAAGGCGTTGATGTCAACCTTCTTTAGGCGGCTGAAAGTAGCAATGCGAAAACGCATCCTGAAGTCAAACTCCAGGTTGTCCAGCGAGGCTAGAGCCACGTTGGGGTGCAGCCATATGGGATTGCTGTCGATGCATGGGTGAACTCTGAGGGAGAACAAGTGTCGAGCTACAGGACCTATGCCCAGACCCTTGGAGAGAAGAATGCAGAGGTCTTCAGCAGTGGAACAGCTCTTGCTGATGGCCACCCTTCGAACTTCTTCGTCAATGCAAAGGTAAACAACGGCTATTGGATTGCCCTCGCCCATCGTTAATAAATTTAGAAATTTGACAACTTTTCGTCATCAAGATGTGAATTTCATTAGCCTCAAAATCCTCTTCCTTCAAAATTCTGAAAATATTTTAATAAATCAAAAATTTTAACTCCGTTTTCTAAAATTTGGTTTCCTGGGTTCAAACCTTTGAAAATCAAGACATCGCCAGTGGCATCAACAACTCAAAATATTACATAAAAGCACCAACTCGGCCATCGCTACAATATCAAGCACACAAGTATGTATCCAGCAGCAAACAGCCCACCAAGCAACCCACTAAGGAGCGTAAAATGGTTAGGAGGGGCGAAGGGGCGGGACTGTCTGGGTGACCTTGGGCCCAGTCCTATCTTTTAACATTGAGCTGGGCCATAAGCCACCTCCTCTTCGCCTCTCCTATCCCATTTTACTCTCCTTACAACCCACCACCCACCATATCAGTTTAGCCAACAAGCTAAAAATTCCATAACGGAATATTATGCATGTAAAACTTATGTGCAGATGTGATGAAAATAATTTAACAATTCAATTTAACTTATATTTATTTTTGTCATACAATTTTTCTACATTTGAAACCTGAAATAAGAAAAGTTATAAATCATCTCGGACAATTTTTTTTGTTAGGTAGGTGTAATTTGTGTTTACACACAGACGATCAGAGGGATCACAAGACACGGACACAGACAATTCTTGTTGTTCTTTTTCTTATTTTTCTGCTGCTTGGTGTAGCCGAAAAAAAGGTGAGCGTAAATTTTAAAACGCAAACAAATTCAATAAAAATAAATAATATATAAAACAAATAAACAGGTACATCCATGAGAAAATTTGATTACTTCGGCAGCTGCAGGTAGCGATTTCCGTTCCAGTCACAAAGCGAAGAGCTGTTGTCCTCCATGTAGCAGCAATGACCGCAAAAATAGTTGCCGTGACGACACGAGGACTCGAATTCAGCAGCCACAATAGAGCAAATTCCGCAAAGATGGTCTTCGCCAAGAAAAACTGCAAAAACAAGAGTTTCCACATCAGCTTTAGAACTAAGGGTGTTGACTTATTTATGCTAGCAATTTTCTGTGTGTTAGCTAGTGTGAACCTATAATTTACATAATGTCCTTACCGTGTGAATAGAGTGTTCCTGAAGCCTGGGCAAACTGGTAGAGAAGAACTAGCTGCTCTTGGGATGTGCTTATCTTCTTTATCTTGCGAAACTCGTTGAGTATGATTTGTAGAAAGATAAATACATTGTCTTGATCTGGCAGTTTCGCGGTTGAGGCTGATGCTTTCGCATCAGCAGGCTCCTTGTAGACATCGAGATTCATTGCGCTTAGGATCTTGGAAAAGCGAGTCTTATCGTTCGAAGTCAGTGGTGTAGCCAGTATCTTTAAAAATAATATAAGTGAACAAGTTAAAAAAATTATAAAAAACAAAACAAACCTTTGCATTCTCAAACTCCGTTGATAATTGAAGAATTGCGTCGAAACTCTCTTCGGCTGCACCACCATGATCTCCTTGTCGACGATTTTTTCTAAAACACAATATACATGGAGATTTCACATAAATTACATACAAATTAGCTTACATTGTAAAAAACGAGTTGCCAGGCCACGGACAATTTTCATCTATAGCACACTTCTTCCCATCCTTTAGTACACAACCACAGCAATATGTTGTTTGGTGAGGACAATTGTCAGCTCTCATGCTTCCCCTTTGGAAAGTAAAGGTATTGAAATTATTAGCTTTATTCAGATTCAGAGTATTTATTTAAATGTCTCGTTCTGCAAGACATTACAACAAAGGAAGATTACTAAAGCGTATGTGTGTCGCTTGATTTTTTGATAATAAAAAAATAAATAAGAATATCATTAAATGTTAAAAGTGAGAAAAAGTCAATATATGGTAAAAGAAATTTATATTTTACATAAAATTATTGTCCAGTTAATGCTCTCAATATTGTTTCTTAACATACCTTCGTTTACAGCCTTCTACGCAGCAGAAGCCAGAGGTTCTGGCTTGCTCTGGATATGCTGTAAGCAGATAAGAAAAAGAGGAAAAAATGAAAAAAAAATAATAATTTAATTACCATATGTGGCTAACTAATGGTTAAATCAGGAATTAAGTCAATAAAATATACCTAGGCTCAATATTTCTTTGCACGTGAGGGAGAAATTTGCAATCAACAGCTGTTGGTCATCAATGCAAGGCTTTTTAAATGTGGTGAGAAGTCCTAGCACTAAGCATTGCTTGCAAATCTAGGTTGCTTTGCTGGCGCGCCACCGGACTGCTTTTTGGCGGCCTCCAAGGCAACGGTTAAAATTTCATCTGATTTCGATGAAATGTCCGCCGGCAACGGATGTTTTAGAAGCTGCAGAAACATAAATATAATGCAACATAATTAAACTATGAGTGAGCTTACTTTTTTCTTCTTCATTTCTGTGGCTATGATTGGATCAACCTGCCCGCTGCCGCTAGTGGTAGTGGCCATGATGTATGTAAAGAGGTGCGCGTGATCAAGAGGTGACAAAGCAGCTAGCTAGCTGGTGAATTCCTCTGTCTGCTGTTTTGGGCTCAGCACTTACTTCGGCTTTGCACTCCTAGAGAGTATTATTTGTGCAACGGCTGCTTCTCTGAATATTCACTTTTTGTGTTTGACTGTGCATGTCGACAAAATGGGAATAATTATTTAATTATTTGGTATGTCAGAACTGAGAACAAAACAATTTAATAAGCCTGGGGCACAAGCGCCTTTTATTTGTCATCAGGAATCCATGATCTACACACCGTCGTAGAATGTGGTGCATTTTGAATTCGACAAAATAAATGGCTACAAAAATTGCAACTGTGCGACTTGATCTCGCTGATCGCAATGCTCCACATTCTTAACAATCATATTCGGGATCGCATTCCGAGCGGTTTTTATAATTGTACACACAATTATCAATTAATTTCACGCGCGTTTAAGTGAAATTTAATTGCAAAAAGAAAATATCCAGGAAAATATATATTAAATTTTATTTAGGCTTCAGACTAGTTAATGCGTGCATAGCGCGCAACACGCGGCAAATGAATTGTATTTTTTTTAGTTACAAATTTATATATAATAACGTTTGTTTTCTGGCTCTTACATACCGGACAGTGTAGTGCGTGCAGTGTTGAGCACCTCGTCAGCGCTGATTTCTACTCAGTGGACTGGGGGTAGTTTAACAAAAACGATTAAACAATTACGACGTGTACAACAAAGGCAAATGAGGACGAACAGATTCAACTTGGATTCAACTTCAACAGATGCTATAACAATAAGATAAGATGCATGGACTACGGCAGCTTTATATACCTACCCCCACTCCGTGCTTTTTCGTTCTCTGTGATTATTCTTTGGGTTTTAAAAATAGAGTGCATGTGTTTGTTTATCCACAGAAATTGTCAGGGAACACAAAATAGCGTTCGTTTTCATTTAAAACCCTCCTCCCCTCCCTGGCGTTCGACTCTACACCAGAGGCGAGGCGCTGACGGCAGCCAATTTTCTCCCCTTTGCTCCAATTATAGTCCCATTCATGGCGGCAACTGGCAGCACCTCCTTGGGAGCAAGAAAGATGTTAGCGAGAGCACCAAGCAAAATGAAAAAAATGAGGATTTATTTTTGTCTTATAATTTTGCTAGATTTAAAATTGGAAAGAAGGAGAAAAATTAACTTCTTGAAATAAATCTTCTCGAAAATTGTTTTTATTAGGTTGGTGTGACTTGTGTTTACACACCACACCAACACACCCACTGCCACTGCACTGATCAGGACCAATCAGGAGGACCCAGGACCGCATTCACCGCATCATATGCGCCATGTGCGCCATGTGGTTTGCTGTGCATGATTTTGAGTTGTGAATTTTAGTCTTCGTTTCTAAATTCTTAAAATGACTACAAAAAAATTTAAAAATGCCCCTATATCAGAGAAATTCGCTTCTCTTATTGATCCCACTCCTTCCTTTGATCCAGAAGACGATGCTGTTGAAGAAGGTATGCAAAAAAATTGAGTGAAATATTTATTTTTGTAATTTGTTCTTTATATTGCATTGTTTGTTTTTACAGACACGAGAGCAAAGTTGACTGATCATTTTGATGAGGATGACGACAGCGAAGAGGTGCAAGTGAGCTCACTCAGACGGAAAGCAGCGTCAGTCACTCTTGATGACAAAAGATATGCAGGGAAAAAGATTTCAAGAAAGGACCTCGACAAGAGCAGCGATGAGGGCGAAAGTTCGGATGATGGTGTTGAAGAAGAGGACAAAGTTGCTGGAGGTGAAAGCAGTGGCAACTATGACATGGAAGAATCTGACGAGCTTTCAGATGATGATGATGATAATTTGATGCAAGAGTAAATTGTAAAAATTATTTTCATAGACAAGACTTACTAATTTTATTCCCATCAGCACCTCTCAGGACGTAGAAGATGGCAAAGAGAGTGACTCTGAAGAGGACTCTGAAGGCGGTGAATATAGCGACGATGGAGACATTTTTCCTCAGGGAGGAGATCAACCTGAGGGGGAAGCAACTGCCTTTCAGCATTTTTCTACTGTAGATCGTGACTCTGAAGTTCAAAAGGGAAATGCTGTCAAAAATCAGCTTCGTAAGAAAAATATCAATAAACTCTTGAACTTAATTAATCTTTACATTTTAACAGTCCTGTGGGATAATTTGCTAGAGATAAGGATCCAGATGCAGAAGAACGTCAAGTTGGCTAATCAATTGCCAGTATCAGGTGACTTTCCTAAGTTTGCCTCTGCGGGAGGGAAAGAATTCCAAACTGCGCAAAAGAAATGCTTGGGTAAAGTTACGGGACTTTTGGAGAAATTTTTAGATTTGCAGGTAAATAAAAATGACCATTTTTAAGAGTGATTTGCATTAATATTTATTTTCCTTTAGAATGCATTGCTGAAGCAAAACCCTGAAACAAAAAAGATATCTGTAAACAAAAGGTGAATCATTTATTCCTGCAATATGATTTATAGTGCTAAATTTTTTTAACATTTGAATCAGGCAAAAGTCAAGTGACAACCAAAAGGAGGACAATGACGAAGAAATTCCCAGCAGTGGAGAAGAAATTGAATCAGAAGAGGAGGTGGAGGAAAGTAAACAGCCGAAGAAGAAAATGCGTTTGGAGGACTTGAGTTTGAGTATCAGCGATTCACACTGCAACTTCCTGGGATTCAGGAACTCCACCATCCAGAAGTGGAGTGACAAGACAAAAATTGCTCAAGGGAAATTCAGCAGCAAGAACTTCAGTGCCTTTGAGCAATCAACTCTGAAACAAATCGAGCACATCTTAGCCGATAGGACCAGACTTTTAAAGAGGACAAGGACAAAAAGGTCAAATTACAAAATCTTAGGCACTGAAGAAAAAGAGAACGGAGAAGTAAATTTTTTATTTATTATTGCTATGGTAAATTAAACAGAAAATTCGTAGGGAACCGAAGACAATGATGAACTTCTGTGCAATGAAATATTTGACGATGATGACTTTTATCACCAACTGTTGAGGGAGTTAATCGAACACAAATCGGAGGGTGTAACTGACCCTGTCCAGCTCGGAAGGTAAACTTCTTGCACAAATCTATGTTTTAATTTAATTTTATTTATTTATTTATTTTATAAATAGACAGTGGATTTCGCTACAGAAGTTGAGGAGTAAGATGAAGAGGAAAATTGACACAAGGGCCACAAAAGGCAGAAAAATTAGATATACGGTGATGCCCAAATTAGTAAATTTCATGGCACCCGTTGATCGAGGAGATTGGACAGAGGAAGCTAAAAATGAGCTCTTTAGCTCCTTGTTTGCAGCTTAATTGTGATGCACCCTTTTAAATAAAATTGTTTTGTACATCGCTTACAAACATTTAATAATTTCAATGCTAATCAAAAATATTTTAAGATTTTTCTGTCTGAAATTTTTGAAAGAAATAATTTAATTTCTTTGCAAATTTAAATAGCAGGATACATAAATTTATAAATACTGCAGACCAAATTATTTCTTGAGAAAACTCTCTGAATGTAAATTGGAATTACCAAATTTTTTTTTTAATATGTTCTTGTCCAATATGCGGTTTACATTTTTGTCACCTAATAATCCTTATATTTTGTTTAAATTTCGCGCTAAAACATTGACTTTTATATTCACAAAACTTCTTCATTTTATATTTAATAAAAAAAAATATTTTAGAAATGATTAATATTTATATTTTAGATTTTTCAACATGAGAAGACGATATGAGACCCGAAAAACCAAAATTGGTTAATTACAAAATTTTCGGGATCGCTCATTTGACCGGGGTTCTTGACTTGCGTGGCGCTGGTGTCTCTCTCATCGCGGCCTCTTCCCTTCCTCCTCCATTTTTGTTTCCGGTGCGAGATAGCAAAAATGGCTCTCCTCTCCGCACGTTTAGCCGCTGCGGTGGCGAGGCAGCTTCCACAAAGCTCCTCACAGGTAACAAACCAAAACCTGAGAGTACCCTTTAAACTTCTGAATTCAAATTTTCCTTGCGAAACTTGCATAATCACCAATTTTCACTTTGCAAAATTTGCCCTCTGTGCGACCGTCCCTTATGGTGCCGGGTCGATTTGAAGCAAAACCACGTTAAAAACTTTTCTTTTCACGTCAAAGCTTCTACTGCTTCTTAGAAAATACTCCTAACTTACTTATTAAACTATTTAAAACTATCTTCGTTTAGTGGGAAACTGTAAGCTTTAGATTTCCTTATGATAATGACTTAAATTTAATTTCGGCCAGCAGACATTTTGTCGCATCAGCTGTCCTCAAAATTTTCGGTACCGTGGTTTAATGCAGAAAATAACTTTTAAACCTAATCTTTCAACAAAATAATGCTATTTATGATCTGAAACCTAACTACTGTTCTTTTAATTAAAAATGTTCCATTAATAAACCTTTTGAAAAAAATCCTAGCCAAGCCGAATTTTATAAAATTTGACAATTTCTTTTTTTTTTTTTTGCTCTTAATTGAATTATAAAATACTTAATGGGATTGAAGCTTTTTTACCGACGAAATCGCAAGGATAATTAATTTTTTTACGATCTGGTGATTTTTTTTTACAAGCAGAACTATGTATTTGACCTTTCAGGTCGCCAGGCTGTCATGGCCCACCATGCAGGTTGGTTCTCGCCACATCCATGTTTCCTGCAGTCAGCGTGCTGCCGAGATCTCTTCCATCCTGGAGGAGAGGATTTTGGGCGCCACCCCCAAGGCCAACTTGGATGAGACGGGCCGTGTGCTGAGCATCGGTGACGGTATCGCCCGTGTCTATGGCCTGAAGAACATCCAGGCTGATGAGATGGTGGAGTTCTCTTCTGGACTCAAGGTTTGCCCTCCACCCTGCTTGAAAAAGTAAAAAAAAATAATTGTTCAACATCAGGGTATGGCCCTCAACTTGGAGCCTGACAACGTTGGTGTTGTCGTCTTTGGTAACGACAAGCTCATTAAGGAAGGCGACATTGTCAAGCGTACCGGTGCCATTGTCGACGTACCCGTCGGCGCTGAGCTCTTGGGACGTGTCGTTGATGCTCTTGGCAACACCATTGATGGAAAGGGAGCCGTCAACACCAAGTCCAGGTAAAATATTGGCTAAATAAGTCAATTATTAAATGTCAGATACAATTTGTGAGTGAACAAAATAAAGGCAAAATTTGTATTATTTTTTTAATAATTAATTTTTATTCTTTCATTGTACAGCCAAAAATTTACAAAATAGAGGTTATCAATCTCACCTAAATAATAATTTTCAGAATGCGTGTGGGAGTCAAGGCCCCTGGCATCATCCCTCGCATCTCTGTGCGCGAACCTATGCAGACCGGAATCAAGGCTGTGGACTCTCTCGTACCCATTGGTCGTGGTCAGCGTGAGTTGATCATCGGTGACAGACAGACCGGGTAGGTTTTAAATTGAACTTAATAGAACCTTCAATGATTTGCATATTCAAACAGCAAAACCGCCCTGGCTATTGACACCATCATCAACCAGCAGAGATTCAACAACGCCGATGACGAAAAGAAGAAGCTGTATTGTATCTACGTTGCTATTGGCCAGAAGAGGTCCACTGTGGCTCAGATTGTGAAAAGGCTCACTGACTCTGGTAATTTTAATAGACATTAATTCTGAATCGGTTAGATAACACATTTTATTCAAAAGGTGCCATGAAGTACACCATCATTGTCTCTGCCACTGCCTCTGATGCTGCGCCCCTGCAGTACCTTGCTCCTTACTCTGGCTGCGCCATGGGAGAGTTCTTCCGTGACAGCGGAAAGCACGCTCTCATCATTTACGACGATTTGTCCAAGCAGGCTGTTGCCTACCGACAGGTGAATTTCACAGCAAAAATAATATAAATTTTTAAAGATATACCACTAAAGATTTTATTTCATTATATAAATTTTATAACATTTTGTTTCATAGATGTCTCTGCTGCTGAGACGTCCCCCTGGCCGTGAGGCTTACCCTGGTGATGTCTTCTACCTTCACTCCCGTCTGCTTGAGCGTGCAGCCAAGATGAGCGAGACTCACGGAGGTGGCTCCCTGACTGCCCTGCCCGTCATTGAGACCCAGGCCGGTGATGTGTCCGCCTACATTCCCACCAACGTCATCTCCATCACTGACGGCCAGATCTTCTTGGAAACTGAGTTGTTCTACAAGGGTATCCGCCCCGCCATCAACGTCGGTCTGTCTGTGTCCCGTGTCGGATCTGCCGCCCAGACTCGCGCCATGAAGCAGGTGGCTGGTTCCATGAAGCTCGAGTTGGCCCAGTACCGTGAGGTTGCTGCCTTTGCCCAATTCGGTTCCGATCTGGATGCTGCCACCCAGCAGCTCCTCAACCGTGGTGTCCGCCTTACTGAGCTGCTTAAGCAGGGACAGTATGGTAAGGATAATTCAACAAAATCTGTAAGGAACGGAAGGCTGATATTTTAAATTTTATTTCCCAGTGCCCATGGCTATTGAAGAGCAGGTCGCTGTTGTGTACTGCGGTGTGCGTGGTCACCTTGACAAGCTTGACCCTGCAAGGATCACCACCTTCGAGAAGGAGTTCCTTCAGCACATGAAGTGAGTCAACACTTGGTTACTTTAGATACAAATGGCAAACCGCACTCAGGGTCAAGTTAATTATAACTTGGAACTATTTTGAACGTTTGCCAAATCAAAATGCAACCACCCTATTCCCCCAATACTATTACTGTATTGGGATTTATATTGGTTGATACATAAAAAAATGAAAAAATTTATTCATCATCAGGAATTACAAACTAACTTTTAAAATTCTAGGACCAGCCACCAGGACATTCTCACCAGCATTGCCAAGGAAGGCAAGATCACAGACGATACCGACGCTAAGCTGAAGAAGGTCGTTAAGGACTTCTTTGCCACATTCACTGCGTAGATACAAAATTATTAGGTGAAAGCCCCCTGGACTGTAGCTTTTATTAAAATAATACTAAAAGAGATGTAATAATGAAAAAGTCAAGATCAGCCATTACTCGTTTCGGATCATAAAAAGGAACATCTTGTTTTTGTCAGTGCGGAAAAGAATTACTTCTTACTTAACTCTTTGTTGATGCCTTGCATTTTACTAGTAATTACACCCCAAGTAAAATTTGCCCAAGGCACACATGTTGATTATGTTACTATGTACAAAATAAAATGGAAAATGTTTCAAAAAAATTGAAAACTTAATCGTAAAAGTGTTTAATTGAATAATTGTTTAGATAGAGGAGGAAATCAAAATAGTATTTTTATAAAGTTATAGAAAATTATATTTATTTAATTTTACTTATTTAGTCCCTCTCTGAGGGCATTTCTGCATCTGGGTCAGCAAACTCATTTTGCTCAAGAAAGGCCCTGACTATGTCACACTTAGCACTTCCACACTCGCAAGGCACAGGGTGTTCGTCAGTAGCTGGGTCCAGTTCTGTCAATTGCATGATGTAAGAACGACTTACTGGGCTGCTCCTGGAAGATAAAAGAAAATAAGTAATAAAGGATGGCATGAAGCTTTTTTAATTTACCTTCCCAAAAAGAGTTCAAACCCCAAGATGTCTCCCTCTTCAACTTCTCTGTCCTCTGGCCACAAAATAATAGTTTGCTTCCAGTGAGTTGGTTCAGAGTAAGGAGATGTGTCTAGTTGTACTATTTCTGCACATGCACCATCATCGTCTTCATCTGGCTCGGGAAATGTTACGTCAAACCACAGAACAACGCCCTGATAACATCCAGGCTTGTGCGTTGAGATGAAGACCTTACTACGAATTACAGAGACATCTTCAACAGTAGCACTGTTCATGTCAAGGGTGAGGATGTTTCGGCTCACTGAGAGAAGGTCATCATCTTTTAGAACTTCAATCTGGGGCTTAGATAGTAACGTCTGTCGCTCAAAAACTCGCATTGCAGACATTTTGTGTCCAAAAACGTTACTCCAGTCTCGAAAGAGCGAAGGCGTTGAGCAAAGAGCACAACTCAGGGTGGCATACTCAGGAAACATTTTCCCCCCTAGCTTAAGATGTTTGTCCCTGGCATGGAAAACAGAATCAATCATTGACTCATGCAGCAAATAAAATCCCATCCACTCTGAGACTATTATATCAACTTGGATTTCTTCAGTCAAATCTTCAACTTTCTTGTGTATGACCTGGAATAAAAATCATGAATTGGTATAACTCTAATGTAAAGTAAGCATGCCTCTGTTTAATATTTACTTCAATGATATTTTCGAAGTTATTTTCTTTTGAATTTGCCAAAGCAACGTCTGCCATTCGACTGGCCTCCACAGCAAAGACCTTCTTGGCTCCAGCTTCAGCACAGAATAAGGATAATATTCCTATAAGAGAAAATAATGAAAAAATATTAATTTAAAAAATAATTAAACAAAGGAAAATTATCATACCTGTCCCTGCTCCAACATCCATGACAACTTTGTCTTTGAAAATGTTTGAAGATAAAATTGCTTTTCGGTAAGCTTCTGTGCGTGGGATGTCATCAATCATGAGTCGGTGCACCTTTATATAATTTAATACAATATGTATTAATACATAAAAATAAAGGATTATTAAACATACATGTAAATCTTCATATGATTCAAAATAAGAATCAGCATGGCTGGCTGTTTCGGCAGGTGGATGGTTAGAATCATTATTGCTTTCCAAACCGTTTCCGTTCATTATAAAGCTCTAAGAACTTGGAAAGTACAAGAGAAACGATGAGTTGTTTATAGAAATTAATTTTTTTATCAGATTATTTTAAAATCTATTTTAAACCCTCATAATCAAAGTATAATCCTCCACTTTGCTCACCTATGAACAATTAGAGGGGCGTAACTTTGCATTTTGAATTTTTGCGCGCTGCTCTTCTTCTCTTGGATGATTCGGCCAATCAGATACTCTGACTCAAAGCGGTTGCAATTCCACCTTGAGAGAGCCAAGCTGATTGGCTCACTAGGAATTCTTGCTACGGGGCTTGCAATACGATCCACTGGAGTGCGCCAATTCTCCGTCAAATCCTGTCAAAAGTCGAAAATTTCTGTCTCTGATCTTCCAACTTGCAAAGCAGGACCCACGGACGCCCTGAAGCTGGCCAGATTTTTCTCAAATTTTGGGTATTTTTGAACAGATAGCTTTCATTTTGTGTCAATATTTGGTTCTTTATGTCTTCGTTCTTACGTGGTGTCGTTTTTCATGGAAAGATTTTCCTCTTTTCCATGGAAAATCTGCAAATTATGAAATCCGCGTGCTGGCGTCCATATTGGAGAGCAGTAAAACCACCGAAATAATTTCAAATCTTTTTGCCATTTTTCTCTTTGCAGGTGATTTGAAGATTTTTTTGATTGGAAAAATGCGCGTGTGGCATAAAATCTTCTTTAAATCGTAAAATATGGAAAGCCAAGTTTATGTATGCAATGCATAAAATACAGATTTGGCGCACATGGCACATAGGATTCCATTTTTTCCTCCATTTCAGTTTGAAGAAGCGAAATTTAAGACATTTTACCGACGCTTCACTGTGAATTTTTTATGAAAAGTCTCATGCTTATAACTGCTGTACATAAATTATTTTGTCTATAATGTACCTGATGTTACAATTCTCAAATTCTCATTAGTAATTAATAGATAATGACTAACTTGATCACTGTGTCTCGTGGAAGATTTTTTTAATTAATTAGAATACTCTTATGACGCTTTATAATTATACATAATATACTCGGTCTCAAGCCACCTTGTTCGCGGAGTCAGCATTTTATGTTATTCTATAATATTATCCTACTCGACGCTTAAGTGCGTTTTTGAATATTATGTAGCGTAAAGCCAGCACCCTGAAAACTCCGCACTCTTTATGCACTTTTTAAGCACTTTTACTTAGTGTATAAAACATAATTATAAATTTTTAATACATTTTAAATATTGTTATGTGCGTTCCTTTTAAGATAAATATTTTTCCGTCTTTCAATATCATAACCCTGCAAGAAATATTCAAGCTTACAAGATTTTAACAAGTTTTTTTCTCTTGAAAAAATTTAATCTTAGTGTGCATAAAGTGCTATCTTGATTGAAGACACACCATCATCTATATAAGCAAATTTATTTGACAATATTTTTGAATTTCTTTATTTCGATTATTCCAATATTAATCAAAAAATATTCTTTTTACAGACGAGACTTTAAAAAAAACTGACTCACAATGGATGATGATTGGGATGATGAACCCAGCGTAAGTTTATATTGAAAGTTTGTTAAAACCATTGATGGTGTTAGGTTTAGGAATTCATTAATTGTACATATTATTCTGAAAAAAATTATATATCCGGACATTTTTTCTTCCAGTAAATAAAATATGTTCTGATTGCAGCCTGGATGGGGAGGAGCAATTGCTCAAACAAATCCAAGTGCCAGCGAGTCTAATAGCTTCAGCGGAAATTCTGGCTTCAGCCAAGGTGGTTTCAACAGAAGCAACGATCAGGGCTCGCGCTTTGGTGGCAACAACGACAGGGGTGGCGCATACAGCGGAGGCAACGACTTTGGAGGGGGCAATCGAGGTGGAGGACGAGGTGGCGGTTATGGAGGCCGTGGTGGCAGAGGCGGCTCTTTTGGCAACAACAATGGTGGAGACCGCTTCGGTGACAACAATTCCGGAGGCTTTGGAGGCGGCAGCAAATTCGGAGACAGTGGAAGCTTTGGAGGCGGCTCGGATGGTGGAAACAGAAGAGGTGGCTTCAGAAATGAAAATTCTGGAGGCCGTGGTGGTGGAGGCTTTGGCGGCGGAAATGGAGGTGGCCGCTTTGGCAATGACGATAATGGAGGTGGTGGCTTTGGAGGCGGAAGCAGAGGCGGCCGCTTTGGCAATGATGACAATGGAGGTGGTGGCTTTGGAGGTGGAAACAGAGGCGGCCGCTTTGGTAATGATGACAACGGAGGTGGTGGCTTTGGAGGCCGAAACAGAGGCGGCCGTTTTGGCAATGATGACAACGGAGGCGGAAGCTTTGGAGGCGGAGGCTTCGGAGGTGGTAATGGAGGCCGCTTTGGCAACGACAATGGTGGCAATGATGACTTTGGAGGCCAAAGAAGGGGAGGCGGAGGAGACTTTAATGGAGGCACCAGAGGATTTGGAGGAGGAAGAGGTGGCAGAGGCGGCGGTGGACGCTTTAATGATGACGGAAATGGATTTGGAGGCAACAGTGAAGGAGGCCGCTTTGACAGAAATGGCCAGGACGATGGTATGGAAAATGAATTTAAATTAACTAATTTTTTTTATCTATATTTCATGCTAAGCCAAATTATAATAATTATAAATTTTTATCATAATATATTTATAAATTTTAGTTAATTTTAACATGATATAGAAAAACTAACTTGATTTTCTTCTTTATTCTTCTGATTATACTAAAAGCCTATTTTTCTTTTGATTAATTACAGGCGAGGGAGGGCCAAGGAAAGAGCCCTACATTCCTCCTGATGTTTCCACTGACGAAAAAGACCTGTTTGAAGGGTACTCAGCTGGAATCAACTTTGACAAGTACGAGAAAATCAAAGTTGAGGTATGCCATCTTTATATTAACTTGAAAGTTGAAAGGTTAAGTTATTCTTATTTGTAAAATAAAAATAATGCTAGGTTAATGGAGACGGCTCGCCTCCTGCTATTGATGACTTCAAAACTTGTGATCTGCGTGGTGTTTTGGTTGAAAACGTCCTTAAAGCCAAGTACACTAAGCCCACACCTGTCCAAAAATATGCCATTCCAATTATCAAAAATGGCCGAGACTTGATGGCTTGTGCCCAAACTGGCTCAGGCAAAACTGTAAGAATACATTGTAATTTTTTTTTTTTTTGTAAATTTTACATATTTATAATTTTTCTAGGCTGCATTCCTGCTCCCTATCATGCACGTCTTGCTGGAAAGCAAGGAATCTTTGTCTGTTTCTTCCACAGGGGCTGTGGAGCCAAAGTGTTTGATCCTCTCGCCCACTCGCGAGCTTGCCATGCAGATCCACAAGGAGGCCCTAAAGTTTGCCTTCAACACCATTCTCAAAGTGGGGCTCATTTATGGCGGCACCGGTTCCAACCACCAAATGAGCAAAATTGCTGTACTATAGACCTTAAAAATTATTTACAAACTCTCCCATTAAAATTATACAATTATTATTCAGAGCGGCTGCCACATTATCGTCGCCACACCTGGTCGCCTTGGCGACTTCATCAACCGTGGAAAGCTCTCTTATGAGAAGATCCAATTCATTGTTCTTGATGAAGCTGACAGAATGCTGGACATGGGATTCCAGATGGATATCGAAAGAATGATGAACCACGATGCTATGCCTAAACCTGTGAGCAGTGATCATTAATATCATTTTACCAAATATTATATTTTTGTTATATTTAGGGAAGCAAGACCACGGTGATGTTCTCTGCCACCTTCCCTAATGAAATCCAGCGCATTGCCAGCAAATACTTGATCAACTACTTGTATGTTGTGGTCGGCATGGTTGGAGGTGCTTGCTCTGATGTCACCCAAAGCTTCCTCCAAGTGCCTAAGTTTGACAAGAGAGAGAAATTGGTGGAAATGCTCAGAGCAGAAGGTATCATGTTTTCCTTAAATTTAACTTATTTTACTAAAATTAATAATTTTCCCCTAGATCCAAACCACAAGGTTATGGTCTTCACTGAAACCAAGAAGACTTGCGACTTTGTGGCTGCCTACCTGTGCGAAATGCAGGTATCTAGCACCAGCATCCATGGTGATCGAGAGCAGCCTGAGCGAGAGAGTGCCCTGAGAGCCTTCCGTCAGGGCAAACACAGAGTCCTCGTTGCCACTAATGTTGCAGCCAGAGGAATTGGTATGTATTTTGAAATTTTTATTTTGTGTCTTAAGGGAATTAAATTTAAATTAACTTCTTCAGACATCGCCGGGGTGCACTTGGTGATCAACTACGACCTTCCCAAGGAAGTCGATGACTACGTCCATCGCATTGGACGAACTGGACGTGTGGGCCACACAGGAAATGCAATTTCCTTCTTTGATGACAAGTACGACCAAAATCTTGCCCCTGCTTTGATCAAAATTCTGACTCAAGTAATATTTTGAAGATTTAAAAATAATGAAAAATGAGTTACAATTTGACACCTTTTTCAGGCTGAGCAGAATGTTCCTGAGTGGCTGTTAAGTTTGGGAGGTGGTGGATTCATGAGTGGAAGCTCTTTTGGCGGTGGAGGACACTCGGACATCAGGGTAAAATAATTTGTGTCTAAAAATTTGTGGTAAATTTCTTAATTATTTTATAATTTTAGTCCTGCTCTGCTGTACAAGCACCACAAGCACCTCCCCCTGCTGCAGCTGAAGATGACGAGTGGTAAATTGCTCCCACATATACCAACAAGAGGTCTAACTTGATCATAGCCATAACAATTTTCATATAATTACTCAAGCAATCAATTGAATTATTGCTACCTGAATCGCGTTCTAAAGCTGCGACGTAATGATTTATTTTTTTGGAAATTAACAATTTAAGTGGTCTGTTCTCAAATGTTATTCAACATTGTATAAATCTAAGTACAATAAGTACGGAAGACAAATAAAATTTGGACAGCATCAAAACCATTTCTTTGTTTTGGCGCCTTATAAGGCCAAAACCACAGGACCTAAATGGTATCGCTCACTACAGCCAGGTGGCGGTCGCGTGCAGTGAACGGCGGTGTGATTTGTTTGTCGGTCGGTGGTCTGTCGTCGGAGGTTCAAGGAAGGGACGGAGTCGCCAGCCAGCCTGCCAGGCCGAAGAAAGAATTGAAAGGGAATGGTGTGCGGTTGGTCGGGCCGACTCGACGCCGATTGCGAGGCTGCGTAGCCGAAGGTGGTTGAATGTGTGCGGTGCCAAGAAGAAGTCGAGTGCGTGTGCCTCGGATTGTTCAAGCGACCTGAGTACCAAAGGTGGAGGATAAAGATGCTGCGCTTCCTGAGCCGCAGGAAAGGACGCAGCAACAACAATGGGGCGACCAACAAGTCGGCGACTCAGAGTCGATTCGGCGCCGACTCGAGCCGCATCGTGCCCAACAAGAACCTGGTCCAGTGCAGGGTCATCCTGCTCGACGGCACCGACCTTTCTGTTGACTTATCGGTGAGTTTCCAATGCCGACCTGACGCAGTCTTGTCCCTGGGCGTTTTTTTTTTCTTTCAACTCGAAGCAAGTTGACATTCCTTTAAGATTTTAATTTTGCTTTTTGTTTACGCAGCTTTTGGTGATTCCGATAATTGACGGAAATCGATTGAAATTCGGTAACCAAACTGGTGACGACCATTATTAATATAAATATTATTATTTTTTTGTGTTGGATAAGAGACGTGTATTGATTTTGAAGGTCAGTAACTATCGTGTTGCGGTTGTAGAGCTTTTTGCAATTTTATAATGATTTCCAAGTGGTGAACGTGCATAATTTGTGTAAACGTTTGTATTTTACTTTCATGTTATTCTTCGAAAATTCTTTAAAATTCAATACCAATCAGCTCCATAAATGTAGCAACTACAAAAAAAAAATGATGAAAAGGTTAATTAACAATTTAAGGTTGAGCACGAGTTATTTCTTAAGTAAATTATCATATATTTGCATTACTTGGAAATGGATATATAGAAAATGAGTGGAAATTTCTATGAACGAAACTTATCATAATTTAAAAAAAAGGAGCTTTGCACCAATATTTTCAAACATTATGTAGAACAGGAATTAAAAGATCCTTATCAACTGCAAAATTAAAAATTCGGGCACGAAAGCAATGTACCTTTCTTCGGAGCGCCTGAGAAAAGGTCGTCCTCGTTTCTCAGGAAGTCAATGCTTTTTGGCATCGCCTCTCATGAATCTCCAGTGAACGCTTGAACTCCATTAAGGTCTCGTTAAACACTCTGGTTACATTCTTACTATAATTTTCATCGCAAACAATGTAAATAAATTGCTTAAAATAATGCTAAATTTAATGTACAGGAAGTCTGTAATGAGTACAGACACCAGAATGCAATTTTACTGATAAAAAATATTATTTGGTGTTTAAAATCGCGTTAAATTAAATTTTTCTTGTTAACTAATTTAAATTAATTTGTGTATTCTGAAGTGCAAATGTTATTAATAATAATTTTTTGATAGGAAATGTCCGGATGGTAATATTAAATTTAAATTACGCCAATATTCTCTAAATAATTTAGATTAATAAAAGATATCAATCGACAAATTTTATATTACATTTAATACAAATTAAAAAAAAAATTATGAATTTAATTTCAATATTTATTTGTAAGCTCTTTAATAGATTTTCAAATTCTTTGAAATAATTTATTAAAGTTAATTTTGGTTCATAATTTTTTCACAACAAATCCTGAATAATAAATATTTTTTAAATTTAGATTAAAATGGAATTTTTATTGATTTTTATTCCATTTTTTATTTTAATAATAACACCGTTTATTTCAAATTCACGAGCACAAACAGTAATTTTCGGCAAGAAGCTGAACGAATTGTGCACTTATATACTAATCAGAGTACAGTACTTTAGTTTTATTTTGATCGCACGAGAGTGCGCGTCGCTTGGAGGGCTTCGCTCACCTTTTAGCGACACGTCGAGTGCGTCTATTTTTAATAGCACACTTACGCAGGCACACGATATAATGGTAATAAGCGATTATTTTAGCAGGACAGTGCGGAGGGGGAGGCGAGGACACACCGTCCGTCATTGTTGTGAGCAGAATCTCATTTATTTTCATACGGTATATCTGCAGCAGCTCTGCTTGTCGTAGCCGCGAGCCAAATTGTTGCTCCTTGTGTTTTCCGAGAGGCCGTCCATTGTCGGCTCGAAAACGAGTTTTGACCCTGATTCGTGATGCTCTCAGTCGGCTGCACCACGACCATTTTGCTTTACTTTCCGGGTCGTTTTCGCGTTTGTGGGGCACGCGAGCCGCTTTTTTATTTTGATTTTCTCCCTTTCTGTGCACGACGCCTCGCTGTTTTGCAAACAATCTCTCTCTAGAGCGAACCAACCGACGAGAATTCGCGCGCCGTGAGTTGAGTTTTTTTTTACTTGTTTTCATCGGCGTCCTCTTTGTTTGCATTCCGAAGCTAATGCTGCAATTATTATCAAACTTATCGCGCTCCAGTCGCGAGTGTTGGACTTTTGAACGAGACCAATTAAATGAAATGAGACGAGTGATTGAATTCCCATTAATGAATGAGTTTGCGTATTTATCAAAACAACGATTATCAACCGTAGAAAATTGGAATACAATTTTTATCTTGTGAAATTCGAAGGCAAGAAAAGATGCGTATATTTTGAGAACCAAAACTTTTTTTATATCAGCTCGAGATTGTTGTTTTTGAGGGCAAATTTTAAGGAAAAAATAGTTATTAATTGAAAATAAAGAGTAATATTTTTAAATAAATAAATTGAGCAAATCAAGCCAAAACAAATCTGGAAGGAGTAATTTTACTCTGCATAATTTGGAAATAAAGAAATCGGGCTTTTCCTTGTTGTAAAAATTGTTTTTATTCAAAATCAAAACGGCTATACCAGTTTTGGTCACGGTCTGCGACCCTAAGAGCAAGAAAAATAAAATTAAAAAACTAAAATCTTATAACTAATTGTAAGAAATACAAGTACCATCCTATTTTATTTTTAATTTTATCGCATTTGAAAATCTTGAGCAATTTAATTTATCTCATTCGATAAGCTTTCAACAAAATCCATGTTGAAAAAATAAAATTTAAAATAATTAAATTACATCACTACAATAACTTACAAGCAGAATCAAACTTGAAGTAAAGTATGGACTAATAATTGAAAACAAACAATAGCGAATGATATTAATTTATAAATTCGAATTCATTAATTCTTCCATGCTCAACGTTCGCGCTGAATGAATGGGGGGGACACGCATAAGCCGGAAGTTATAGATTTTATAAATGATAATTGCGCGTCAGCTTTTCATCCGGGGTGACTCAACACTTCCCTTTTTGAACAGAAACACCTGACGTGTGGCGGATAAACGGCGGTCATTTAAAAATATACCAGTCAGAAAAATATAAAAAAACGTCCTTTGCAAAGGCGCCGACGATGCTCATATATGCACAATCGGCTGAGCGTGAAGTCGTTGCACGGAGTCGTCGGCACCAAAACCGCGTCCTCGCGGCTCCCGCGAATTTCCGCAAAGTCTGCTTTTTAATCGAGTGTGACAAAAAAGCATAAAAAAGAGCGAGTCACCCGTTTTAATCGTCTGCTGCGCATTAAAGAGTGCTTAATCAAATTGACCACCTAGCAAAATGCTTATGCAAGAATTAAAAGAAAATTTTATTTTTAAAGGGTTTTCAAATATCCAGAAAATATTGATGTTAAAATGAAAATTATTATTTCAAATAGATTTTTACCTTCAAATTTTAAAATTTATCAAACAGTCAAAAAAATTAATGGCTCCAAATATCCAATTTTTATTTTCAGATTATTCACTAGACAAAAATTATACATTTCATTACATTTCAGTAAAATTGATTTTAATTTGTCCTTTCACTTTATAAGAGAACGATTCCTAAATATCTTGGCAATGAAGTATTTAATATTTAATTATTCCAAATTTATTTAGAATTTTCTGGATGATAATCTAATCGTGAGTCACTTGCGTAAGCCATGTGATTAAAATGTTAATTTATCCACCTCATTCCACCATTCAATTTGATTTTTCGCTCTCCTTATGTGACATAAATATTTCTGCTTTTAATTTTCCACCATAAGAAACGATTAAATTCAAGAGCTAACAATTTAGCTCCACAACAATTTGCTCGTTTTGTCGCCTTAGAATAATTATATTCTCGAAAGGAGGGCGAAGAATCATAAAAGCGTCGTCATTAAATTAAAAAGCGCGGTAGCATTTTGTGTACTAAGCGTCGCGCGATTAGGCGACACGAATATAATAATTTGCGCTCATTTCGCCTTAATTCCATTGTGCCGAGCAAGAGATAAAACCGGTGTTTGTTTGTGGAGCACCCGTGCACCGCGATTACTCAGTCATTTTCCGTGCACGAGCATAAATTATTTCGCCCTTGTTTTCCCCTTGGCTGCTGATAAGGTGCTCAGCAAAATGGAAAAGAGCGTCTCTCGAGAGCGCGCACCACGAAGAAGTGTAATTAAGGTGGCGTTCCCGTTAACACGCGCCGAGCATCATTTCTAGCAGAGGCCATTGTGCGTGGGAGGCAATGCTCCTTTCGTGTGCCATTGCTCCGCCGCCGAGTGAAAGCGTTTTCCCCAAAACTATTCTTCTCTTTTTGTCCGGTTCAAATTAACGCATGACTCGCTCGATTTGTCCAATTAGCATCGAATGTAAATTACGTTCTTCGTACAAGTGAAGCTAATTGCGGTGAAAACTGAATTGTCACATTGGTGAAACCGACGTTAGTTTGAAGGTCTCAGCTCTCTTTTATTATTCATATTTTTTATTCTTCTAACAACATGTTATGTCAAAATTAAAATATTATTTTACCGTTGAAAACATAAAAAACTTTGATCTTCGAATTGAATTGAAATAGAATAAAAAGTGATAGTAAATTAATTTAGATTTTCTTGGATTTTCAAAAAAAACAATAAAATTTATTAACAGGATCAAAAATAAATTGCTGCATTAATTATTTGACATGCTAAAGAGAGATTAAAATTTTTAAGAAACAAGGTTTAAAGATGAAATTACTAAATTATAACCTATTATTATAATAATTATAAACTTATTTAATCAACTAAAAGCTTCAATAATAATTAATTAGTTGAATTTAACTATTCTTTCCTGATTTGTGAGTTTGGGTAGCAAAAAATAGTTTTCATTTTAATTAAAATGTCGTAAATTATTGTTAATTTATATGCAGACTAAATCCAAAATGACAATTTTTAAGCTTTATATGTGGTTTAGTTTAAAATAATATTATAATTTTGATGGAAACGGATGAGGTAAACCAAGCTGATAAATTCTAGCTTTTTACGGTATTCTTCATAAATGACGTGCATATAATTGGAAAATTCATAGTAATTGGTTTGGCTTTTATCAAATTTTTGAAAACCAAAAGAAAATTTACAAAGAAAGGAATAAAAAAATCTTTT